TGTCCCACTGGTTGTTGATTCATGACAAAAAATTGAAATTTTATATCTTTATGTTTGAAGCCTGAAATGTGGCGAAATGTTGTAAGGTTCAAGGGGGCAAAATACTTTCGCAAGGCACTGTATCAAGTCAGCTACATGTCAAGGGAGGAACAAAAACATTTTGAATTCTGTTTGAAATCAAATTTAGAGTGGCCTAATATTCTCAGTTACGTTTATTTTTGTAAAGCCCTAAATCACAACAGCAGTCTTCTTGTAAGATTATAAGAGATTCTTGTAAGAGATTGTAAGTAAGCAGCTTAGTGTGAAGAAATCAACTATAGGAGCAATTATTAGAAAATGGAAGACACACAAAACCACTGATAATCTCCCTCCATCTGGGGCTCCATGCAAGATCTAATCCCGTGGGGTCAAAATGATCAAAAATGGTGAGCAAAATTCCCAGAACCACACGGGGGGACCTGGTGAATGACCTGCAGAGAGCTGGGACCAAAGTAACAAAGGCTACCATCAGTACGTGTCCCCCTGCTTAAGCCAGTACGTGTCCAGGCCTGTTTGAAGTTTGCTAGTGAGCATTTGGATAATCCAGAAGAGCATTGAGAGAATGTCACATGGTCAGATAAAACCAAAATAGAACTTTTTGGTTAAAACGCAACTCGTTGTGTTAAGTAAGTAAGCTTTATTTATATACCGCCTTTCACAGACCAGAGTCACAAAGCGGTTTACAATTGTTATTTTTTGGGCACTTGTCCTCTCACTCCACACAGAGATGGGAGCGGGGTCGCCGAACAGGAGGCGCATGCCAGACCTATTGTGCATGTTTTTAGTGGTAGGGGAAACCGGAGTACCCGGAGGAAACCTATGCAGACACGGGGAGAACATGTAAACTCCACTCAGAAAGGCCCTGGTCCGGCCGGGATTCGAACCCAGGACCTTCTTGCTGAGAGGCGAGAGTGCTATCCACTCAGCCACCGTGCCGCCCACGGAAGGAGTTGCATCCAAAAGAACACCGTACCTAATGTGAAGCATGGCGGTGGAAGCATCCTGCTTTGGGGCTGTTTTTCTGCAAAGGGACCAGGATGACTGATCCTCTTCCATCAGCAAGGGCATTGAAGATGAAACGTGGCTGGGTCTTTTAGTACAACAATGATCCCAAACACACGGCCCGGGCAACGAAGGAGTGGCTCCGTAAGAAGCATTTCAAGGTCCTGGAGTGGCCAAGCCATTCTCCAGATCTCAACCCTATAGAAAATCTTCGGAGGGAGTTGAAAGTCCGTATTGCCCAGCGACAGCCCCAATACTGCTCTAGAGGAGATCTGTATGGAGGAATGGTCCAAAATACCAACAACAGTGTGTGAAAACCTTGTGAAGACGTTTGAGCTCCTGTGAGGATTAGATAGCTATTTGGCCTACATGCAGGACAACTGCAAGACTATACAAGGACTCGGATTGTGCATCCATGTTTTGACTATGATATGCTCTGTCTCTGTGTGACACGTATGTCTTTCGATGTGTGACGTAACAATGACTATATAACATGTACGGACTCCATTTTGGTGGGAGAGAAAGAAACATCAGAAACCACTGGAACTTGAGAGAAACCTAAATGAACTTCCAGAGTTTGGCGCACCACGATTCGTCTCTGTCTGGTTCATTCCTGACACTCTGTCATTGCCAGTATTGAGATGAACTTTTGTTTTGACCAAATACTTATTTTCCACCATGATTTTAAAATAAATTCTTTAAAAATGTGATTTTGTGGTTTTTTTTCTCATTCTGTTTCTCATAGTTGAGGTATACCTATGATGAAAATTACAGGCCTCCATTATCTTTTTAAGCGGGAGAACTTGCACAATTAGTGGCTGACTAAATACTTTTTTGCCCCACTGTACATACTGTTATGAGTTATGACTATCAGCTTTTGCCATTGTTATAGGGGATGTTTACTAAGCTTGATTGTAGTGAGCTGGGTATGAATAAAGTTAGGGTTAATGACAAATAATGACGTCAAAAGCACCCAACCCTTATGTGTCATTGCATTTTTTGCCAATCATTGAGAAGAGGTGAGTTTGAGTCTAACATTTTTGCTTACTGTATACATTACATTATACTGTATAATGTCAGCAATATGAATAGCCACTTTCTTTTACCTTTACTGCTTAGATAGCCATGTCATTATTTTTTTTTTATTGTTATTTACTTTAACTCCCAGACGGCTGAAGTCTATTAACTTGATATTCTTCAGTTCAGATAACAGCTCTGACCTGATAAGCTGTGCATAAGGTGCTTTATTGGAGAGAACAAGGAGGGGCAAGAAGTGATGCATCACACTGAGCAGTGAGCACATTCATTTACACCAATCTGGAAAGTCATTAGTGTCTTCACAGCAGCACAGGTTACTCACTGAGACCACAGAAGTAATTAAAAACAACAAAGATTATTAGGAAAAGGGTGTTTGGATACTTTTCCTTTGTCACCGCAGGTCTCTGAAATTTGAATTTATTTGAATTGATTTTAAATGAAATGAAATTATTTGCTTTGGTCTTTGGTTGGTTGAGTTAACCGATTACCTCTCAGTGAAGCAGCGATATATGTGTCCCCAGATAAAAGGTCAACATGTACAAATCATATTTGGCCTTGTTGCCAGATCAGTCAAATATTGTATCTACAGGCCTGTGATTTAATGTGGTTGTGATGGGAATTAGAATTTGCTCTTTCCCTAACAGGAGGCACTACACAGACAAAAGTAGGCAACAATAAACTGTTGGAGATATAGGAACCATGCATTTCCAATTAGTCAGCATATAAGAAACTCAATATGGTTATGACAATATTTAGGGAATTATTCTAATACTGATAGTTCAACTCTATTTTTGATCAATTCTTCTCCCTTGTATGTACTTCAGTATTCAGTACATTGTTTTACTTGTGTGACCTGCCTCGGGACTACGGATGTAAATTAGCAGTTTTGCTATAATCTGGCACATTTACAATCTGTGTACAACTGTATATGATTGTTCATTAATGTGTGTTGTCCCGATCAAATAAATAAATAAATAAAAATAAAATAAAAAATTTAGCCCGTTTCCTTCATCAGGTCTGTATGTGTTTGTGGCTGAGGTTCAGAGGTGCACCGTCTGCACAGGTGTGAATGCCATGTGACTGAGGTCAGGAAGGGTAAGCGAGAGTGCTCAGCTGTCCACTCAGATCACTGTGAAAGAGGAGCACTTTGAGAAGGAACAGTGTATGCAGCTCCTAGCAACAGCAGGCTCAACATGAGGTTTAATGCATGTTTGTAGTTGATTTTACGAGACATTTAGCTTAATATTCTTCTCCATGTATTCAACCTAGAAAGACAAAAACCAACAAATAGATTCAGATTTGAAAACGTATTTATTTTTGCGTACAGTGTATTGCTTCAGTTTGCAATAGTGCATTTTTTCATAAATAACATTTAATAAATAAACAATGTCACCACAACAAACATAACAAACTAACATAAAAAGCTAGCCACACACATAAACTGGATAAATCAGCTTAGAGAAAGGTTTTACCGGTTCCAATTTACTACTAAAGAAGCCCATGTCATTGTGGATTGGTGCTCATTTCTTAACGACTGCTGTAAACAATTCTCCATAAGATAAACCACTCCTCTCTTTCTTCGACACGTAAAAAAATAACACCAAATAATTAGCATCCTTTAAAACAGGAAAAAAGGCAACTTCTCAGAAGTGAATGATAACACTGCAAAACACATGAACTAAACCTGTTGGCATCTGCACCCACATGTGTATTATCACTATTGTTTTTGAAGTTGTCAGTATTTCGTTTATGGGTAAACTTAACCAGCAATAGCGTGGATGCTTTCCAGCAATGAGGTAAAAGAACACGACACCACGCTCCAAGAGCAGCGTGGATGGGAATCTGACAGCATCTGTCAACAGTGTTACATATGGGAGTCAAGTGTGAGTACACTGTGGACGACCATAGCATTTATACAGTGTAATATTACACCGAGCTTAGGCTGCAGCCAATCATACCTTAAACTTTTACATCAAAGTTGAAAATCACTGTTTAGATCATGTGACTGAGCCAGGCGAGCTCATGCATGAGGCAGTGAAGAAAGAACTAAAGCTGCATGTTCTGCAGCAAAAACCAATTTGAAGTAGAATGCACCTCTATCTTACACCAAACATTCACCGTCATTTCAAATATTTGTACACCTAAAATAAATACACTCTTAAATATGTCTGCTCTATTCTTTAAACCTTTTTAAACAGAATATATTAGACTTTTACAATGTATAAATAGATGTCACACACATGATAATCTTTGAGTACAAAAACATAACTACTCTGGATTTTCTTGTAGGCGGTCATAACTTTGATAGTTACTGCCACCTAGTGTGAATCAGCGGATCTGCACCATTTCTTGTTGACTGTTGAAGCTGATATGAACATGCAGCATAATCTGACAAATCTACCCTCCTTCATTAAAATCAGTTAGTTTTCCTCTCTCTCATTACAATATTGCAAAAGCAACAAAAGCATAAACACAATTTGCAAAATAAAACATCAACCACCATTTTTAAGAGTAGTGTGTGTGTCTCGCACTTCTAGTGGACGAGTATTTTACATCATGCGTCTTTCGGTCTGAGAACTCTGATCTGCATATTACAGCAAAAGGATGCTTCTGAAAAGACAGTCAATGTGTTAGTGGCTAAGGATTTGAAAAAGTGCCAATTTGTTCATGTCTAAAGCGCAGGTTATTGGGCGTGTATTTTCAAACCTGCAGCTCAATTAGATTAGTGCTCAGGGCTCAATTGCCCAGACTTAAATGTTTTTTTACTCTAATGTTTTGTTGCCACTATCAAATATACTTGTGTCTTTTGCTCATTCGTGCTTCGCTTCTTAACCTCTTTAGACCGAGCAGTTGCGTCTCTTCCCAGAGCCAGTCTGGGCTGTAGCAGCAGAGGCAGAGATCAGCCTGGCAGTGACCCCGTGTCAAAGGCTGGTGGAGGAGACTGAGAGTGTGGGTGATGACGGTGGAGGGAAGTTGAGCAGCTCCAGTACAGCGACACCAACACTGCTGCGGCGTGTGAACATGCAGGAAGCAGCCACCCATTTATTACTACGCGGGTTGTATTTCTCTATGGAGTTGAGACTGGAACTGCCGTCATTGCCTCCCACTGCGTATAACCAGCCATCCATAGCAACAAGGTCATGGGTGCTCCTGTTGTGAGGAAACAATATGCAAATTCAAAATTAGATTAATTGGTCAGAGTTGACATTAGAAATACATAAGTCTGCTTTTATTTTTGTTCATATTAATGTAAACAGAGCTTCTTGGCAACTGGAAAAGAAAAGGCTGACAACTGATTACACCATGGTTTATTCATGGTGGGGACTGTCGGCTGTTGTCAGGTTTCCTCACTCCTACAGTGGCTAAGATTCAAGGTGCTTGGTGAATGGGGAAGATTTGCTGTTGTCTATTCATTTTAGATATATTCCAGCCAAGAGAAACCCTTTTCTGATAGAAAAATGGGTCATTTGGTATGTATGCTGCATTGCATGTTTGAGCTATGGAAATAGTCCAATTGCCTCAATTCTACCAAGCACAATATGAGCCCTCCCCAGGCTAAAATGAAGCTCACAACAGTTTCAATGCAATGACTACAATAATTCTGGATAACTAAAAGTGACAAGAGGATCTCTCACTATACACTATGACCTTTTCAATGTACAGATGGTTAAATACTGCGTGAAAACATGTTCTATTGTGCATCTTTTCTACGCACTTTACCTTAACTACACAGCCATACACCAGTCTGGGTGTGTAGTGTGAGTGAGGTGTAACTTTTGGAATGTTTTGTCTGCATCCTGACTTGTGCATATTTAAATGTAAAGGTTTAAATCGGGTTCAATTTACCTGCGGATGTTCATGGGGGCCACTGCTTCCCAGGTGTTGGTTTTGGGGTTGAATCTCTCAACCGAGTTCAGACAACTGGTTCCGTCATTGCCTCCTGCCACATACAGCATCCCATCCAGCACTGCCACGCCTGCACTACTGCGCCGGCTTAGCATGTTGGCAATGGCTGACCATGTGTTACTCTGGTCAAACCAAAACATCAAAGATTTTTTAAAAATTCCTTCATGTATGCTACCACCAGAGTCTCTAATGATAGATAACAGAGAAAGAGCAGTAACCTGTGGGTCATATTTCTCCACTGTTGCCAGATGTGAAGAGCTGTCATAACCTCCCACAGCATACAAGCTGCTTTCTAGACGTAAGCAGGAATGCAAAAAGTAAAGCTTAGCTCAAGATAACACCCCTTTATCACACTTTTTACACTGAAACACACAGTTTACTGAAAAGAATGCATAAATATGAAAGATCTTACCCAGAGTAGCGACCCGCACATATCTCCTTCGGGTACTCATGGCAGCGATGGAGGTCCAAGTGCTAGTCAAAGGGTCGTACCGCTCTGCACTAAAATGTACAAACAGACTTGTTAACAATTTGTTAATAGATACTAAAACCGCAAATATTATTAAAACTGTTTTAGGCAACAAACGCACGCATGCAAACACACTTACACAATACAATAAATATACATTTTAATAGTCTGCTTATTTATTGTGAAATTGCAGTTGAAGAGATGTCAAGAAGATTTGAAACAAAAGGAGCCATACCTTCACATCAACAACAGCAATCTTACCTATTTAGACAGGAAGCTCCATCATAACCTCCAGCAGCATACAGTAGGCCGTGAAGCACTGCCACACCCAAACAGCTTCGCCGAGTTCCCATAGAAACTTCTGGTTGCCAGGTGTTTGTGATGGGATCGTAAGACTCAACAGTTGCCAGGTCAGATGTTCCGTCATACCTGTGATGGAGGGTCAATGATGAAAGTAGCTCACTACAATTGCATTATCCCCATCATCCTGGCTTGACTCACCCCCCCACTGCATACAGTCTGTTTCCAATAGCTGCCACGCCCACTCGTGCCCGCCGAGTGGACATAGATGCCACCATGTGCCAGCGGTCCGTCCGGGTGTCATAAGCCTCACAGTCTCCATGGATAGCAAACAGGCTGCCTCCACCTGACAGTAGCAAGGAGTGAAAATTAGTGGTAAAGTTTATATTTTGCAACTTTATTCTACTGACCAACAGCAAAGAGAACTGGGCTGGCCCCCTCACAGCGCCGCGGCCGTGTGCGACTGTTGCTCAGGACGCCCCTCTGCTCGGGCATCAGGTGGTACTTGAGAGCCTCGATGAGCAGGTCTTTGCACTCAGAATGATGACGCACCAACAGTTCAGTGTCTACGTTACTCATGAGGAAATCTCGCCTGAGTAGAGGCAGTCGCACGCACTTCATTAGCTTTGGAAGAAAGTGGTTTTAGTCATACATGCATAAATCTGAAAAGATTCCGTTATCGAGTGTTACCCAAGGAACATGCTGCCGCCGACCATCTACGTCGTGTTTCACCCAACTGAGCACTGAACGATAAACTTCTTCTTCAGATGGCACGTTGAGATTATCACTGGAGATCAAATCTAGAACCTGTGACAAAGACAAATGTAAAATGATGGTTACAAGTATTCAAAAAACAATCATGCAAGATTTTTTATCCTCACAATGACTGCACTTTAAATCTATCAGATAGTGACTTTGTGTGTGTAAAATATTTACTAGATGAAAACTGCCGATGTTGATGCTTCAATACTGTGTGAGTGGCTGGCTCATTTCCAGTACAGCCCTGACAGAGAGGAGAGGGGCCAGAACCATCAGCAGCTGCTGCTGTGTTTGTGTCCGGATCAAGGCAACAGTTATCAGCCTCACTAATCCACAGCCACTTCTGCCCCGCCTGGCAGAGCTCTTCCAGCTCTATGTACAGCTGCATTACATGGTTTACAAAAACAATTGAGAAGATTTTCATTTAATGCTCTTTTTCTAATGTGGGGTCCATGCACAAAAAATGCACATGATGCTGCATCTATGAAGAATTGCCAATCTCCCTGTCAAGTGTTTACACAGAAAATTGAACATTTGAAAATTGCTCAAAACTACATATTGCAGAGTTTTTAGAACAGTCGCAAACATGAGGAACCACTACCCCACCAAAAAGAAGAAGAGGAGCAATAAATTCCTTTTTATGCTACATAGTTTTAGTTTTTTTACTGACTGAGCTCACACATTTCCATGTATGCTCCTTTATACAGAGTAAATTATATTTCATTCCTGAGACCACAACAAAGTGTCAGAAAACTTTGTTCAATCCCCACTGAAAAGTGGGGTTTGGATAAGTGAAAGGCCCCGTCCCAATACCCACACTGCACCCTACACACCTCTACGAAGTGTGCATTTGTTCGAAGTGCACACCAGGGTTGGAGTGCGCAGGTTACAAGTGTGCAAAAAAGGCAGAATTGGGACAGTGCACACTGAGTGCAGGTTACGTCATCGACTCGTCAAGAGATGGTCATTTTCAGATCTAATCTTTATAAACATTAAAAGGTAATTTTGTCTGACCCTTAGGGAAACAAATTGAATTGCTTCACACACGTTAAAATACATGTATATTAGTTGTTTTTAATTAGAGATAGCTGTATAATTTTAAGTTAAATGTGGGTAACTAACAATCTGGTCAGTTTTTATACATTCTAAGATTATTGTACTAAGTGTAAAGTTTAAATTGAATATTATGTTATATAAACGCTTGCTTTAAAATTTATTAAATTGTTAAAACACAATGTCCGTAATTCTTCATCAGACGTTTATGCTTCTTTCCAAGTAACATTGCAAAACTTATTTACACACATACTGCATATATATTTCTAAATTTGCATTTTCCCGACGTTTTGGTGTACCGCAAAGAATTATGGGCAATATCCTTCGCCAGAGTGCGCATAGATGCAGGCTACGGCGAAGTGTGGATCAGGGGCGCAAAGGGGGCGGGGCCAAACACCTCCCTGGAGAATTGGGACACCCTACGCACTCGCACACTTTATCGGGAACGCGCAAATGAGGGGTGCGAGGGTGGAAGTGCGAGTATTGGGACGGGGCCATAGTTTTTCTCTCATAAAATACTCTTGCCCTAACAATTAGAGCCCACCTGAGTGTAATTATCAGTCAAATTAATGTAAAGACCTATGTTTAGAGTGCATTGGTCACTTAAAAATCACCCAGAGAAGTCACGGTTAACGTTGAGGGGAAGCATGGTTAGGTTTTACAATTTATAGTTTAATCTATCATCTGGGAATGGAAAGAGTATGCCTCAACTGCAAATCTACCAAGACGCCGCTGTCTGCCCAAACTCACAGCTTCAACAAGGACAACACTGATCACAGATTCGCAAATGGTTACTATGGTGGAGCTGCAGACATGCAAAGATCACCTGGGGGACTCTATACAAATATTGTATTATTATTAAATTATACATTATATTTCCGAAATAAATCCCGAAATAAAGTATTTTTGTTTGTCGTCGTAACATGAAAATCTGACCAATCACTTTCGCAAGACACCGTATTTCTGTTTAATAGCAAAAAAAAAAACATTGATGCTTCTGCTGCTGTGGCCAGCAGATTAATAGACGGACAGGCTCGTATCATTGCAGATGATTAAAACGAAACCAGAAAATCCAGACCTGTTTGAGTGGCAGCAGCATGAACTCCTCTGTCTTGGACACCTCCACAAAGTGCTGCAGGACGTACTTGTGAGCAGACTTGAGGAGGTCGCTACAGGAGTGAGTGTCAGCGAAGCCCCGAATGCCCAGACAGTTGGAGGGGTCGAGCTGACTGAGGAGGAACTTACAGCATGCATCCCGCACCCCGTTGAGTTGAAGAAGGCTTGCAGCTGGGAGTAAAGTCTAGACACAGGGAAAATGGTTGGCTTCATATTCTAGATAGACTACGGCCCAGACAGATATCTTAGTTTAATTAATTGTTTTGAGTTTCAGTGATACGTACTGTATTAGAAAAACAAGGAGCCATGAGTAAATGCATTTTGAGTCTGAAAGTCGTGGTTTTGAGCCCACCACAAGACTTTCTTCAACAATTTCCACAGATGTCTGCGGCTGTAAAGTGTCTGCCTAGTGCCTAGTGTCCTTAGGAAAAACACTTCACATTGCCTAGAATGAGTCTGGTGTCTGTGAATGGTTGGTAGTGGTTGGTAGTGGTCGGAGGGGCCAATGGCACATACTGGTTGCCTATGAATAATCACATGTGAAGAGTCTTTGAGTGTCCAAAAAAGCACTATATAAAACCGATTCATTATTATTATTTTCATCAATTACAGTCTGAAGTCTGGAAGTCATAGACATCACCAGACAGACACTGCCTTAGAAATATTGGATGACCTATATATTAAGCCACTTTAAATAATCATTAATAATTAATTTTTCCTTATTGTGATCTAACCAACCTGCACGTTTCCTTCTCCGACCACAATCTCTGCGGTGTAGGCATACTGCACCAGCTGCTCCAGTGCCTGAGGGTCAATGTCGTGAAGGGTCACATGGGTTTGTCGGCTCTCTGACATCTCATCTGCATAGTGGAAAAACACATTATCTTTCCCATAATAATCACTGCAAACAACAACAACCATTTGGCATGCCAGTGTTAATGAAGTTTTGTACCGCTTGCACTTGTGAAATATACAACTGATGATTCATTTATATTCAAATCCCCATGTACAGGCCAGGGCTGCAGCAATCAATTATTTTAGTAATCAAGTAATACATTGATTAATACTGTTAATTGATAAAGTACGCTATTTTTCCACAATGCCTGCTAACATTATTTAGTTCAGTTAAGAATGTATTTAAATCATTTCAATAAATAGTTTCAGCATTGCTACAATGTCAAACCAATATAATACTATAAAAGGGAAAATATCACAGAAATGCAAAATCTTAGAAAGGTCTCTGTTCTACTCTAAAGAGGGCCTAGTTTTGAATTGGGCAGAACGTAATCCCCAAATGTAAGGTTTTGAAAGGCCAGTGATTTAGCCAAATATTTTGACATCCACCTAAACTATTTTGGATACTAACAGGTAGGGTGGTTGCGCTTCCCATTTTGATGATCAATTGAACATTAGAGTTTCATAAGGTGCTTCTTTGACTTTCATGAAAAAGCCTATTTGAGTCTCCAGAAATGCGCTGTATAGAAAAACGATGAATTATTAGTTTTATTATTATTAATAAATGTTCATACTGTACTATATTATCACTAGTAGACTATCTAAGACTTACTTGTAAACATGGCATGGAAGTAGGGGCTGCATGAGGCCAGCACAACTTTGTGAGCCTTGATTTCTTTGTTGGACACATGGAGCACAATGTCACAGAGCAGACCTCGCTGTCTCATGCGGTTCATGGAGACAAAAGAGTCATGATAGTGACGTTTGGAGTTGTGAGAGATGCTGTGGCCATCGCGGTTCAGCAGCTGCATACCTCCCTCCATCATGAGCTCCTGCCTGGGCCGCACTCTGGGCAACTGAAGCAAGATGGAGAATATGTCAGTGTTAAAATACTCATTTATCAAAAGCATGACAAATGAGTGGGGGGCAAATCTATTTAGTCATCAAAAGTGCATTGTAGTATAAGATTGGTGAGTATGTGTCCGGACAGGTGCCTAAGCAAATCACTTTGCATTTTGTCATTCAAATGATAACCACCTTGACAGGCAGAAGAGAAATTTGACCATTGTGTATATGAATGTTTAGTTACAACTTTAAAAATCTTAAACTGGAAACAAAAGTAATTAGCATGGTCTTGCTACAAGATAGTGTATCTGGTCTATCCAATGTAACTGTTGTGTCCATATTAGTTGTATTTTTCTGACAGGATTACGTTTGTACAACTTCTCCTTCTCATCCCAGCTGTAGGAGGGTGGATGGAGAGGCGGCTGTAGCCTGAGTTTCCCTTTCTCTCATCCGCCCCTCACTCAGAGATTGTTGCATAACCACCATCACGCTGCACCTTCAAAGGCAATTTTCTATAGGGCTCTGAGGAACCATGACTGTATAGGTTCTGTTTGATTTTACTTTATTGTAGCACTTTATAGACTGACAAACCAAAAAATTGTATCCAATATAAGAAATGTATGAATAGCCAGTGGCAATGGACCACTGAAGTGTCCCTCCACTCCCAAGCTCCATGACCAACGTACTGTATTAGAAAAACAAGGAGCCATGAGTAAATGCTGTACAGTTCACAATGGAGGCCACCTGGTTTAAATAAAGCGTTGTACAAATTCAACACAGTGTTTAATTAACACCTCTCTCAGATGTCAGCAGCACAGCTGCTCAGCGTTGGCTATCAAGGCGTCCACTTTCCAAAGCACAATAGACCACAAAAACACAAGCACTTTTCTGTCTGGACAAAAACTCAAGGGGATAATTTTGGACAATACTGTAATCTGAGACATACAGACGGACAGAATAGCGCAAGATTGTTAAACCAAATAGGCAAACTATATTTATAAGAATATAAAAAAAATCTATTCAACCATGAAAAGCTGCGTGGCTGTACCTGGCAGCGCATGCAAACTGCTGCTCGACAACACAGCTGTTATGGGTGATATCTTCATCCCGATATTAGGACTCTGATCATAAAATTGTCTCCTTATGGGATGTAGCGGACCCCCAGCCCCCACACTGTATGTTTTGAATGGGAGCTGCGGTGATACAACAGAGGATGGAGATGTCATGTCGTTACCGGTGCCTGTGTCGCGGTGATAGTCGGACCCAGCTTGTCTCCCTCGAAATGATGGCTTATGAATCTGTTTGTCAGCTTCCGATCCGTTTAAAACTAACAATGTCTGACTATCTGTCCATAGTCTGTTGTGTGCTCCTTGCAGTTGACGTCAATGCAAAAAAAAAAAAAAAAACATTGTATGAACGCTGACATATGGGTGTTAAGGTGGCGCGGATACAGCGTTAAGGAGCAATAGAGAAGTCGCACCCAGTAATACAAGTATCACACATACAGTCCCAGCGGGTAACTAATGGGTCTAGTAACTCGTAACTATACAAAAATGTGCAACTAAATAGTAAGTAATTGGTCCAAATTATATTTTGACAGCAGGGACCTTAAACGCAGTCTTTTGTCTGAAATCCGGAAGTAAGTTGTGCGGAGTTTGCTGAAGAAGTGTGCTGATTGGTCATCATCATGGCTTTGGTCATCATGAAACCATCCTCCCTCCTCTAACCTACGCATAAACGCCGTCATTTAAAACATGTTTTTTTCCTATATAAATCGATAAATTATGTCCTGAAATATAAACGTTGTGCCTATGAAGTGAAACTACCAACAAACGCAACGATTGAAGATAACTGAATTGCAATGGGTCACGAAATTAACCCAATCCGTGTGCGAAATTCACATTCAAACCTCGGTACACTTATTGTAAGCAACATAAAGCAGAACAGACTCAACTCACCAGCAGTGGCCGTCGCCAGTGTCAGCAGTGGTTTACCCCTGTTCGTGAGCTTGCCCAGTTTAGTGGCGAATGTGTATCACCCCTGAAAGACAAACAACACATTTCACGGTAAGTTCTGGCCATAGACTGTTCTGGCTGAGTGTCTCGTGAATTCTGTCTATAATTTGATTAAATCTCACGTGTGGCACCAAAACAGTTTTTTTCTGTGTCCTCCTTCTAAGATTGGTGTGTTTAACATTAAACCACAACAAATGTACTCATTGGAAATAACGCAATCTTATTAAATCTAATTCGCTCATAAAATAGTGTTAAAAATTCTAAATAAAATAAAATCTTCAAAACGATTATGTATACTACGCGCATGCGCCAAACGGAACTTCCGGAGCATATCCGGAAAAGACAGTCACGTTGCAGAAACAGCATGGCAAGCAAGCGGTATGTTGTATTTTCACTGATGTTTTGGAGGTTTTTTATTAGATTGTATACATAATTAACATATAACACAGTTGTAGACATGAGTAGGTATCACAAAAATATTCTCTTATCGCATTTAAATTGGTTAACATATTTTGCTTATGCTTGGACTCGTATACTGGCTATATAAATCAATTTTGCTTTCATTAAGTGTTTCTCTGGAGTACATGGTGTCAAGCCCGCCAGTTAGTGAGCCCCAATGCTAGCCTGGGGTACTTCTGAAATACAAAATCCTTTGAATGGTGTTTAGGTGTATGTTCACTGATGTTCGATTGGAGTACTGGTGACTAGTTCCTTGTGCCCCTGCAGGAAGTTGGAGGAGCTCAGTGTGGACGAGTTTCTGCTTTCAGCCTCCATCTCGGATGGAGATGATGATGGAGCAGATGACTCTGAAGAAGAAACCCCACAAAAAAGTGATTCAAAGGGGAAGACCAGCAAAAAGAATGAAGCACAGAACAAGTGAGCAACTATTTTTCACGTCAGTTGTCATGTGTTTTTCCTGATAACCTTCCATATAAGAAAGATATGAAAGCCCAATGTTTTATTCACTGATTGTTCATTATTTATCTTGATAGAAACGATATGAAATCAGGCAAAGCATCACAGCACAAAGAACAGCTGTCAAGATTAAAAAACAAAGATCCAGAGTTTTACAAGTTTTTACAAGACAACGACCAAACCCTGTTAAACTTTGAGGACTCTGACAGCTCTGAGGATGAAGATGAGAAGAAGTACCACAAACTCCCATCCAAACTGGAGGTCTATTGTTGTTGGGGAATGTCTCTGTGTTAAAATCAAAAATTTAATAGAATGTGGTTTTCATATTTTAAAGGAGGTCAGTTCAGGTGACGAGGATGGTGACAATGATCAGAAGCCTTCAAAAACATCCAGAAAAGATGATGCCATTAAAGTTACTGAGAAAATGGTTGCAGAATGGAAAGCTTCCCTCAAAAAGGAGCCCAGTCAACGGCTCTTTAGAGAAGTGACTCAGGCTTTTAAAGCTGCTGTGGCCACAACTAAAGGAGAAGGAGCTGGGCAGTGCCGCTTCAAAGTAGCTGACAGTTCAGGTAAGACAGTTATCTGGTTCATCTCAAAACATTGTAGTTGATAGTTAAGTGTCACCAAACAATGTTAATAACACAATAACATATAGTGATATGACTGGGCACCAATTTAATGTGTCCTTAGTTTGGTTTAAGCAGTCAAAAAGCATAATGACAATCATTAGTTTCAAAGGGTTCATTAGGTGCAGGTTCGAACCAGTGCACTTGGATAATATTTTTCTCCCTGGACGCTGCAATTTTCCTATAGCATTGGAGATTTTCTTTAGAAAGCAGCAACACTGCATGCACCTGAGCAGAGCAAAGTGCTCCATGCCGAAACTGGGCTGACATTGACTTCACCTGTGACTACTTGTGAAGTCTGTCATTCTAAATGATCAAGAGCTGTTACTGTTTTCCTCACTAGCGACACCCTAACAACTCAGATGAACAGAAAACCCTCCCAAAAAATTAATGGAAGAAAATTATCCAGCCTTTTGATGGTTGCCTATTTGGCTCAAATCAGTGATCCATGCACGTCAGCTCAAAACCAAGAATTGTATTGTTGCTTGTTTTGATTACACAGCCCTGGTTCATTCTACCCTCGGTTGCCTGATGGTGTACAAAGCTCTTCTTGGTTTGGTTCCTGTCTATCTGTGCTCCCTCCTTCAGAGAACCAAGAGCCTGTACAGTTTACGTTCCAATGATTCTTGACCTCTTGGCCAGGACTCCCTTGAAAAAGAGATCTCAATCTCAATGGGTATTTTCCTGGTTAAATAAAGGTTAAATAAGAAAATTTAAAGCTGCATTAACTCACTTTGCGAAATTTTCGAATGTGAGCGCTGGCCTCGCACTTTCTGCTCGCCCTCCCCGCACTCATGGAGCTATCGCCCCCCCACTACCCACCCTCCCGCTCAGCCTGTGCTGTTTATGGAGCTCACGTCTCACAATATGGATCGCACATTTGAACGTGGATGGCGTGACCATAGAATGATAGAACCGGGAAGCGCGGAGGAACAAGACTTTCTTTTGGATGGCTGTTTTGCTGTGTACGCAGTAACCGGTAACGAAGACACGGAGTTTCAGGTTAGCCTCTGCCGCTTGCTTACCTAACGAGAGACTTGGGCCCCGTCCCAATTCTCACCCTTGCCCTTAAAACGCACACTTGCCCTAGATTTTGTGCATGCCCGCGGGGGTTGTAGGGTGTCCCAATACTTCGGGAGAACAGACGAGGGCCTTTACACCCCTAAAAACCACCCTTGAGCGCAAGTGTGGTCCGGAGCTCACTCGCGAGGGAGGGTGATCCCATGATGCATTACGATAGCTGTTGGTAAAGTAGCTGTCGGGCAAAGCCGCGCCACAATGAAAGAAAACAACATGAAAGACCCGCTCGCAAGTTTGTGGTGAATAGGAGGAAGCGCCGAAGCGTTTGAGAGTCATTCAGAGCGTTTTTAATGCGTGTGTTGGTGCTGTGTGTGGTGACGTTCGCTCCCGAAGCGGCCGCAGCGTTTGGCGTTCACTGAGGCTTCAGAGACGTGGTGCATGTTATTATATATCCATGATGTAGTTCAGAGCATCGATTTTGAATGTATGCTTTGTGATCCGCGGGACCGTGGCTGTACCAGTCTGTCTCTCTGTGGCACGTCTCTGTTCACGTATGTACATGTATGTGTGTGCGTCTGTCTCTGAGTGCGTGATGTGCAGCAGTTCTGTACCTAATTATAGCAAAACTTAATATGAAATAGAACTAAAAACGTCTCATTTTAATAAATACTGTGTATTTATCATATCTGTGTCAGATCTTATCTGTGGTGAAATCAGACACTTTGATAATGTGTGTGACGTGGAACACGTCTGCTGTGTCATTTGCTATTGTCCCCTACATCCAGGGGTGTCCCAATTCTTAGGAAGAATGTTGTGAGTGCACTCACCACTGGGAAGGCACTTTTCTGGTGAGGGTACTCACACCTTAGGGCAAGGGTGAGAATTGGGACAGGGCCTTGTAGATTTTCTCAAAGTGGGGGCCAGTGTTCCGCTGTGATTGGTCACAATCTGGTCCCGAAATACATTCTCTTCCTTGTTGCACAAAAAACTCGGCCAAAAATAAAATGACACGCCAGCACAAATCTGTGCTACTTTTTCTTCAAAGGGACGTATATCCCAATGCATTGCATGGATATGGATTTAATTTTTCTAATGAATACAAAAATAAAGTGAGGTAATGCAGCTTTGAATTATCCCAGCGTTCCTACCTGATGAAATCTACTTGTATCGGTGACAACGTGTGAATTCAGCGTGAGAAAACAATCGTAGATTCTACGTTTATATTATATTCTATATAATATTAGATTATATTCTACGTTTGTCCAAGCATCTGCTCCTGATATGAGAAGTTTGTGACCCCAAGCAAATTCATTTTTCTGAGCAGTGCATCCATATGTCCCTGACACGCAGCCTGTTTCAGAAGAGTGACGAGTTCAAATTTCATAAAAGAGTAGTCATTTAAAATTCAATTCTTTTCATATTGGTTTTCACTTGTGAGTTAAAGCTGCACTAACTGACTTTATTTTTGTATTCATTACAAAAATGCTATCCATGTCCATGCAGCGCATTGGGATTTACGTCCTTTTAAAGAAAAAGTAGCGCAGATTTGTGCTGGCGTGACATATTTTAGGGGTCGCAGATTGTGACCAATCACAGCGGACCACTAGCCGCTGTGAGAAATCTACAGGTCCCTGTTAGCATAGACGGCTGAGTTGGCACAACAAGCGGCGGAGCTAATCTGAAACTTCCTCGTCACCGGTTACTGCTTATACAGCGAGACAGCCATCCAAAAGAAAGTCCCGTTCCTCAGCGCTTCCCGGTTCTATCGTTCTATGGTCACGCCATCCACGTGAATATCCATGTATTATCCATATTGGGATTAGCTCAGTCAACAACAGTGAGTGTGTGTGGGGGGCGATAGCTTCGTGGGTGCGGGGAGGGGAGCAGAAAGTGCGAGGCCAGCGAGTCCGCGGCTTCAAAATCCCAAAGTCAGTTAGTGCAGCTTTAAACAAAGTTGAAAGTGATGCCACTTGAGTAGCTTGATAGGGATAAATAATCCCTTCTTGAATCTCAATAATTGTCAATTTGTGAAATAAATGGTTTATCTTGTTTTAGAAAACTATTGGTTCTGTGAAAATAATGCATGTCTTAAGACATAGAACTTGTCTTCGGAGACAAAATAACCTTCCTTCCTAATGTATGTCATTAAACAATGTTTGTTTAATTTTTGCAGTGTTCAATGCTTTAGTACTATTTTGTATCAAAGACATCCATCCAGCCCTTGAGAAGATGCTTACCCTGAAAGCCAATAGAGATGAGAGAAAGTATTAGACAGATTCTATTTTATTATGTCTAATGTATTTGATCATGTTGATGTTAATTATTTTTTCTTTGACTACAGGCTGGTGTTGCCATCATCTAGTCCAAAATGGCAGAAGATTCTGATAGATATAAAGATGTATGTCAGTGGAGTGGTTCAGGTGTGTAAGGGTGTCATTTCTTAAATAGCCCAGCATTTATTTGAAGCTTCCACTTAGATCAAATGTTTGATCACATCATACCTACATGTTTGTGTGCAGTTGTTGTCCTGTCTAACGGAAAGCTCAGTCATCAGCGCTGTCCTAAAACATGCCAACCAACTTGTTCCTTATTTTCTGTGTTTGCCCAAACAATGTCGGCACCTCATCAAGGTTTGTGAATGTGTAATCTTTAGCTATCCAAAGTACAGTGACTTCATTTGTATCATGTTTAAATATTGTTTTTAATAGCAATTGTTGAAGCAGTGGAGTACAGGAGAGGAAACGAGTCGTGTTTTAGCTTTTCTAGCTTTAAACAAAATTTGCAGACACAAACAAGATGCTTACTTAAACTCTATTCTTAAGGTGAGCTTAATGTATTTAATTTAGTTGTAAGTTAAAGTAAATTAGTTGTCTATGTGCAATAACCCATGTTTTTTTCTTTTTTAGCAAATGTACATTGTCTATGTACAAAACTGCAAGTTCACTTCCCCCAATGTGCTTCCAATGATCAACTTCATGCAGAGATCCCTCACGGAGATGTATGCTCTGGACACACAGGCCTCATACCAGCATGCGTTCATTTACATCAGGCAGTTGGCCATCCACCTTAGGAACGCTATGACCATGAAGAAAAAGGTTGGTCACTATAAAACAAGCAATTTGCCAAACTGCTCTGAACAAAGACATTTCTATTGGGGGGGGTGTGTATATATATACACACATGTGTGATACATATATATATTTGCTTGCTTGCTTGCTTGCCTGCCTACCTACCTACCTCACTCATGTATGTTGTCTCCATAGGAAACGTACCAATCTGTGTACAACTGGCAGTTTATTCATTGTTTGTACCTCTGGTGTCGAGTCTTGAGCACTTTGTATCCCAGTGATGTTCTTCAACCTCTTATTTATCCGCTCTGCCAAGTCATCTTAGGCACTATCAAGTAAGTGTATTATATAGTGTGCCATTTTCTGAGAATTATTATTCATAGGCCAACATTTTTGGAAGAAGTCCATCTGGGAATGCTGTACTATTTACACAATCATTACGATCACCTTTTTCATAATTCACTATTCTGGTCCCACGCCACCGCCCTTTTTCTTGTGTGAACTTCTGGTCTGGAACGACTTCAAAGCAGTACTTCTTGCTACATTTGTGCTTGTCAATTTAGTCCAAACATGCTACTTGTAAATTACATTTGAATGTTTGTGTGCGTGTGCGCCCTCCAGTGGCCACTCCAAGTGTATCATAACATAACTGGACTTACCTGATTGGAATTAGTTGTTTTATTTTTGTCTGCCAATGTCTTGAATTAGGGCTGCAATAGCTGCTCCTTTTGTGCTTGCGTTTAATTTGCACAATAAAACAAATGATGTTCTCAAATTTGAGGCGACAGTGGCTCAGTTGGTAGAGCATTGGCCGTTAGGCCTGAAGGTTGTGGGTTCGAGCCCACCATAAGACCTACTTCACAACTCCCACTGATGACTGCTGTTGTTGTCGTCCTTGGGCAAGACGCTTAACCCCACTTTGCCTGACGCCTCTGCTGGAAGATCAAGGCTCCTGTAGACGCACCACCTGCAGGAGGATCAGTGTAGCTCCTCAATGACAACATTGCACACGGATTCTCGAGTATGGGCTCATTTATTGACCTTACAAGTGTCATAAATGTCTTTCAATGCTGTGAAAACTACTGAACAAAATAAAATATGCAATTAAACACAACTTCTAGTATACTTTACAAAAACAAAACTTAAAATTAGCCACCTCGTGGCCGCCTGTCATGTCGGAGGTCTTTAACGTAACTTGAAAAGCAATATGTGCGTTTCAGCTCTACACAACATATAATACAATTTAAAAACTCGAACCTAAATACACAATAAAATTGTACATATACAAATAAATACCTCATACAGCTGCTTTCTCACTGTGAAAGTGGCTCTCGCTCTGATGCCTTTGAGCCCGAGAGAGGGCGTCTGCCTGTCTACCTGAGGGCCCCTTGTAAACCCCAGTTCTCGCAGATTCTTGCGATAACAAAATTACGAAATAAAACCAATGTATAAAGGTGTGATAACAGATACTTTCTTTTGGAGAAAACAAAAATATTACTATTAACAAATTTACAAAACTATTCTAAAACAAATAGATAGAAAAGCAAATTAAACTTTCATAAGAAACCTATATAACAACACTTACGATCAGTGAGGGGCTGGTGTTCTGTGAACTGGGTGCAGCTCTGACTTCCACCCCCCACCCCTCTGGATTAAGGGGAAGAAAATGAATGGATGGATGTATGCTCTCAAATTGGGCTTGTATTAACGGTATTAACTCAAAAGAAATCCAGAGACCATTCCAGACAGCAATACATACACTGCAACAATAGCACATGCACTCGTGATTTTGAGCGTAAAACTCGTATGTTTAAAACTCAAAATTATGACTTTCTGTAGGCTTTTATTTTCTTTGCATGTCCAGGAGATGGAGCCATTTACCTTTCTTTGTCTACAGGCTGGTACCCACTGCAAAGTACTACCCTCTGAGGATGCACTGTTGCAGAGCGCTCATCTTGTTATCCAGCAGCACCAACACATTTGTCCCAGTTGTGCCTTTTCTGTTGGAGGTAAGACTTCCATCTCCATGAACGCCTGTGTTGTGATGATACAAATGTGGTCAGTGAAATGATAAATGGTGAAGCTCCAGTGTCTTTGAATCATTAAGTCCATATGACAGGTTAGATTGCTAATTTCACACAAATGTCTTAAAATATTCCTAAATATATATGTTAACCAAAAATGAAAAGTTGTATGTCCTGTTGTTGTATAATGTCCTTTTTAAACATGGGCATATGGGGAATGGGTTGAGGTAGTTACCAAAACCACAACAAATTGAGAACCTAAGCTCTCATTTACACAAACTTAAGCACAAGCTTTTTTAATGAGACAATGTTTAAATATTCTAGTTTTTCTACCAAAAAGTTGCTTTTGTAAAAATTGTAATCAATAAAATTGACATTGTGCCATTTGCATTATGTCAATTTGAAGTTTGTTGTCATAATGAATGTATTTGACAATAGACTAGCCTTGATCTTGCAAATTATAATATAATTTTACTTCTAGTTTTCATGAAAATGTGTTTTTTTACTCTAAATATCTGGTTTTCTGTTGACAGTGCCAGTTATGAAAAAAGTAGAATTATTGATGTCTAATAGCTACAGAAATGACTGTTGTCAAGGCAGGTTTATGCAGATTGAAGCATTTTCTAATTATATTAGAAAAAAGTAAGGCTGTCAAACGATTATTTTTTTTTAATCGAGTTAATTACAGCTTAAAAATTAATCGTAATTAATCACATTTCAAACTATTGGCAAAATTATGCCATATTTTTCTGTAAATGGTTGTTCGAATGGAAAGATAAATGACAGCTTAGTGAACATATGTACTGTATTTGTTTGTTATAACAATAAATCCATATAAAATGGAATTAACATTATTAACATTCTGTCTTTCTGTTTAGACTCAGAACAAAACTTTAGTTTGTTACAGATGAGGGACATTTCAAAGTAGTCTGAAATGCAGACTGTCATTAAATCTGTTTGATTTGCTCACACCATTACTTTTTTTGGCACAACAAACATGAACTGGTAGTCGAAAGGAAAATTGGGTACCTCAGCTTTAAAGGCGCTATACCCGTTTCTGCAATGTTTGAATGTTTAGCACCGCCCCCCAACTCGCTCACAGGCTTCTCATTTCCCCTACGCTCTCATAACACGGAGCCACCTAGTTTTATTTGCGATCTGATATGTATGCTAACATTAGCATTAGCGCAACTTGTAAGCAGTGCAACAATCACTGATGAAATGGTACTAAAGCAATGCACTGCTAACACAATATATAAGTAAAAGAATACCATTAGTTTCACGTCCAGATGTATTAATTTAAACATTAGAATATATTCTAATATTTAATTATAATTGATTATACAGCTCCTCACAGCAGCAGTAGAACACTCCATTGACTTGAATGCAATTCTTCCAATCATTTTTACTTGATAACCGAACTCTCAAACCAATAATGACCGCAGCCCCAATGCAATCTGTTTGTAATTCAGGTGTGTAAAATACTGCCATTACTTTGCAAGTACAACAAGCTATCAGCGCCTGTCACTACATTGTGCAGTTTTTCTGCACACTTGTCTGTGTAGAGAAGCTAGCGGAGCTAGCCACGCTCAATAAACAAATACATATCTATCAATCAACACCATTAAACGTCAATCGGACAGTACAGTATACATATACATCCTTAACACACATGCACGGACGATTTCAGAATTTGCTTTCAACGTTTTCATGACAAAAATACTGTTTTAAAGTGACAAAAAGCGATCGCGAAAAACCCGGAAGTTACCATGAAACAACTAGCTAGCTTAGCTGTTACCTGCCTAGCACGTCCCGGTGAAACCTTTGGGAGCTAACTATTTTATTTGCAGTCATTAAATACATTTCTAATTATAAGGGTTGTCTAATATTTGTTCAAATATGTATATATTTTTTATTTTAGAATTATATTCGAATTTTGAAGTCGAAGCCCTGGTGTTTAGCAGCGCTGTAGAGGCTAGAGGACGCAGGCTGCTCGCTTCTTGTTCTGTGAGCGGAGGAGAACGAGCGTCCCGCTAAGACTCTACTCAGCACTTTTCACTGCCTGAATTTCATACACAGTGGAATCAATGACCTCAAGTTTTTAATTAAATGATGTATTATGATACAACTTGTATGCTTGTAAGCTTCTTTAGTTTAGCGAGTGCGCTTTGGGAGAAGACACGGCGGAGACTGAGGCTCCGCAGTCCAGCTTCAGCGCTGTACATATTGTGTGCATCGGTTACGCAAAGACACGTATGCACACTAGAGAATAGTTCTGTGCGTGGTCTTGGATATGATCCCATTACGCGGCGCCGTTTGCCGTGATCACAGCCGCTGGAAGTGGGAACTGTCCAGAGCGCTGTGGCGCCTGCAGCTCATCATGCAGAGTTCATACAGGAAACAACAAGTGCCCCGTGGTCACGATTCCCAGAGGGCCTACCTGCTCTGTCCCCATCTTACACACGCATGTGTCCGCGGCATTCTGAGTGTTATGGGACGCATGGGCATGCGTCAAATGCGTTAATTTTTTTTAACGTGATTAATGAAAAAAATTAATTACCGTGCGTCAACGCGATAATTTTGACAGCCCTTGAAAAAAGACAATCTATATTTATAAATGTTATTGGGAGAAGTAACAGAATTGAGACACTTTTCTAGAGCACACCTGGCAATAATTCAAGGCTCACTTTTGTTCCACGTCAGACTGGTTGAAAATGAACGCTCTAGGGCTGTACTGTGTAGTGTAGGAGTAAGAGCCACCTGTTGATGCTGCATATGGAAACAATATAAAAGTAGGTGATGAAATGTTCCACGGTGGTTTGCTGTGGAAAAAATCTCATTTGTCTTTGAAAAGCTCAACGGCCACAACTGAAGGGAAACACCACAGCGTTCCTGTGTTCATACGAGTTTGTTATCAGAGCTCCAGCAGCCGTAACCGCCTGCCTGAGCCCGGGTCAGGTGTCCCCCACACACTGCCTCCTGTTGCTTCCGTCATGCACTGGGCTGTGGCTCGGGTCGACGGGGGGCTACATTAGTGAGTGACCAGTCCAGCCCCCTCTGTCTGTGCGTGCAGCAGTTTGACCAAAACGACAAAGGCAGGCTGCGGTCTACTTTCGAGTCCCAACACGCTGCGCTGCCCACATCCTCTCAGCCTGTGACCCCCCCCTCCCGTCCTCTGACAGCACGCAGCGCTTATTTATGACGCACCTTGTTTCCTGTGTTGTTTCTCTGCACTGCTGTTCCCCTTGTTAAAGCTGACTGAGGTACGCTGCTACTGTTTTAATTAGCACGGCCCCTTCCCCTGCTCTGTCTGCGCCTGTGTGTTCTTCTCCGAGGGGGGCGTATGATTTGGAGCTTCCTGCCTCAGTGTATGTGTGCGTGGACGTGAGCTCCAGGACCAGCCTCGGCCTTCCCACTTCCCCCTGGCTCCCCCCACAGACCGCCACCACATCCGATGTTTGTACAGACAGCAGCGGCCGGCAGCGCGGCTCTGCTTCACACGCCGCGCACATTAACGACCACACACAGAAGTACACTGCGATATGGCTGACAGAAATAGCCTCGTACACAAATACACAAATTTCACTGCTCAATGTGGGCAGATGTGAAAGCTGCAGTGTGTAGACAGATGGCCCATATGTCGCCAGGACTTTCACAACGATTGATGTGTAGTCCATAGCACATTCTAAATAAACGGTGCAAAAGCAACTCCTAAATTCTCAGATTATTAACGACCATCACCAGCGTCAAATGTTTACAGTTTAAACAGAATACTCCAATACAGTTGGCGATGTTGTGAAATACAAAGTCATAGTCAACAATTGTTTGTTTTATGCGCTTCATTCGAGTTTATACTTTCAAACTTTCAACATGTGTTTGAGCCTTTGTCTATGATTTTAGATTTTGCAACAAGTGGACTTCAACAAGAAGCCAAGCCGCATGAGCAAGAAACCAATCAACTTTGCAGTTATTCTGAAACTTGGCAAAGTTAACCTTATGGAGAAAGCATATAAGGTAAGTGTGACATGTTTTTGTGACAATAACTACACAACAAAATCACTTTCTTTTAATAATTGGGGCCAAAATTGAACCCAGTTTGGTCCTATGTCCGGCCTTGTCCAGTCCTGGTACACTTTGTTATAATTCGCTTGATTTTGGCTCCCAGTTGCTTTTGTGCGATTTCAGGAAAGTGGCTATTCTCTTAAAGTGTAGGGTCTCAATTCAAAGGTGAAGTAATGTGATATTGTAACTGGTTCATTATTTTGTTTATGAATGAATTCATTGAGTGGGGGGGGGGGGGTAGTGCATTTAAATTTTTGAAACATTTGATAACTGTCCAAATCAAGAATTTTCAACTTTTTAAAAACTTTACAGTAATGAAAATGAAGTAATGAAATTATAACTCGCAGCAAGTCCAGCTTAGCCGTGGTTCTTACATCAAATATATTTTTCTCTCAAATCAAGAGCACCCAGTCTACAACACATCACTATTAAGTTTGAAAAGTTCTTTAATAAGAAAGTGTGATCCAGGCTTTAGACGTGTTGACGCGCAAATTAATGCGTTGGCGTGAAGTCATTATCGGTGTTAATTATTTTGTAGCCCTGTGACAGAGCTAGCATCATGCTCAATCCACCGCTGATCCAACTCACATCTGGTCTGAGGCGTAGAGTATCCTAGGCCTCACATTTTCTTCTAGTTTTATGTAATTTTTTACCATAAACTGATACTTTATCTTTTCAACTGTAAGTACCAAAAGGGCCGCTAAAATCCTGATGGCGTCAGTGAATGACATTTGGCCTTATTGCACAGCTGTTTTTTGTTGTTGTAATGAATCCAGGAACATGTTGTTCTCGTGTTTAGTTATTTCTAATATAATGGGCTGGGTCCAGTAGTTGCAAAGTGGACTGGAGAGCACTATAATGAAACACATTTCAGTTGGAGGAATGTTTTCTATAGACTTAATACAATGATGCATTAATTTTACATTCAGATTAAACATTAAAACAAAGGTTTTCTCACAACAAATTCACATTCTTACACAGGTCATGATCAACTCACTCAGACATTACTCCAATGTAAACAACTTCGCTATTGCTCTTGACCCACGATTGCTCTTGACCCACTATCACACTCTGCCCATGTTCTATGGAAAGTTTATGTATTTGGAAATGCACATTGGATTACATTTTTTTTATACCTTTTTTGCACTGGAAATGTGAAACAGCCGTTGATCCCTGAAACCTCTTAAACGATGGGGAAATGGAAACATTTGTTGCTTTTTCATGCTAAAACATAAATATATGGGTGGAGTCTGGTGTGCTGCTTGGTTGGTTCACCAGCCCTTTGACTGGTTTGACACCCCTGATTCAGGGAAACCTTTTGTGGGACACCAGGCCGCTGCACTAAAAGTCCCCTGGAGTCATGGGCTCACTGTCACATCTAACACCTTGGTGCTTAGAGGGTAAATAACATGACCATTTTATTTTCTTAAAGGACGGCTTGGTGGACCAGCTGTATGACATTATGTTGGAGTATTTTTACACTCAGCACAACTCCATCGGATTCCCAGAAATTGCCCTTCCAACAATTATTCAGGTAAATCTTTGTTTCTCCACTTTTGAGTTTTGTGCAGTTAGTGATGTAGATAAATTAGTCTAACAATGCCCTCCATGATAATTGGATAAGAGTAAAAAAAGAGGTTTAGAATGAATAATACTGTATATTGTTTTTACTGTAGTAAAGCGCTGGCTATGTCTCGCTCAAGTGCAATTTTACAACTAGTATTTTCATCGGGACTGTTCCATGACTTGGATTCAATGGAGGACATTTTTGTTGTTGGTCCGTGCAGTTGAAGTCCTTCCTGAAGGAATGCAAAGTGGCCAATTACTCAAAGCCAGTGCGGCAGCTGCTGGAGAAGGTGCAGGAGAACAGCGGCTTCATCACGTCGCGCCGACAGAAGGTGGCGTTCGGAGTGGCTGATACGGCGGCTGTGGTGAGTGTCTTCAAAAGTGGCACAGGACCCAGACGTGTTCCGATCTAACCTGCTGGCCTTGCCAAGTCTCCATGTTCACCCAAACGCTGTTATAAGCATGGTCACTGTTGGGTTTGTAAGGGCGTTTGGATCAGTTGGCCATAGTGCACGTGGCCATAGTACATCCATCCTTTTTCTGTCGCTTTATCCTTTACCAGGTTGCAAAGGCAGCCCCCCACATTTATATCTCTGGACTAGGGATGGGTCATTTAATACTGGCACAATTTTGAGCGGCTGTATGAAACTGAAATACTGTTTCAGTTTCATAGACTTAGTGTGTATGCGTACAATGCTCGCTGTTTCTCCAGACGCTCAGACCAATGACACCTGCCGCAGAGGACAATCTCAACAAGCTTCCCTCCTTCGGACTATGGGTGTCCGCATAATGTGTTGATGGTAATGCCAAGGTTAATGACAGCTGCTGTAGCCAGATTAAAGCTGGGGTACATACTTCATTTTAATTATTTTGGAAATGCATGTTTGTCCCAACAGAAAGTCAGAGTACATCATGCGGCGTGAGGGTCTTTCCATCTGAAAAATCTGAGTTAAAAGATTTGAGTCCAGAAATCCATGCGTGTGAAAACTTGTGATAGAAGCCAACAGTTTTGAGACCAATAAGTCTGATTTTTCTTTTTTTTGGCATTTCCTTAAGTTTTGCAGTTTTGAACATTATTCCCCTTATTAACTATAGTGAATGATATAGTTATTGTGACATTTCCTTCTTGTATTGTGATATGGGTCAAGCTGAGACAAAATCCAGCTGGGGGTCCTGGGTATTTCCTGGGATCTCCTCCGAATGGACATGCCTGTGTTGCAAGCAGTGCATTGGATAATGATTTATTTTATTTTAAAAGGACAATGAATTGGACATGCCTTCTCCTTTCAGCTGTTGTCCATAGAAATTATAACTATGAAATGAGACAAATTGCTCGACTAGTCAATTTTTCAATGTTAAATTACACAGGTTCATTTCAGTTTTGGCACCGTACCTGTTTAAATGATAAGAGTTGTTTGACGCTTGTTTTTAATATCCAAGCACACACAAGATAGTATGGCTCGGCACACCAGTGTCACTGCCAATGTGAAAAAGGTCACGGCGCGCCTGTGGCCTGCTGCTCCCTACCATGCCCCAATGCCACAGCTTACAAATTTTTTGCCCAGACTGGCACAGGTCACACCACAGCATTTCTGATGTGCGTGATCCTCCTTGTTTTTCCCCTCTCATACAATGTCACCCATCTTAATAGCGGCACAGTAAATTGTAGTAAATGTGTCGGGCAGGCGGGCGCAGGAGGCTGTGGTCTGTGCGCTCAATTGGATTTGTTGGCTAGATAATGTGATTGGGCCTAATCAATATCATCCACAAAGACCTTTAGGGGAAGGCTGGAGAAGATCCGCCAGGCTCCGTTTACAGCTTCCTTCAATCTCTTTACTCCTCCCTCTCAATCACTTTGTGTCTCCTGCTTTCATTTTATTTTCAAAGTTTTACAGTGATGTTTATATAAACGTTCTGTTTGGCTGAACTGGTCAGAGAGTGAGCGCTGGTTCTGTGGCAGGTTGAATGGGAGAAGCAGGTTCATGAAGAAGGGACTCCTTTAAGCAGATACTACAGCCAGTGGAGGAAGCTCAGAGAAAAAGAAATTCAACTGGAGATCTCCGGCAAAGAAAGGGTACGTCTGAGTCTCCCACTATTTTGGACAAGAGGTACCATTGGTCGCTTTGTTTGATAAACTATTCTAGTTTTATACCTTCAATGTTGTGTTTTATAGATGGAGGATCTCAACCTGCCTGAAATCAAACGCAGGAAGGTTCAAGAGAAGGCACAGGACAAGGAGGAGTTCAAAAACCTGTTTGACTCTGACAGTGACTCTGAGGGAGACGATTCTGGATTCAAGATCAAAGGTGAGTGCTCTGTCCCTCTTCAGTCAGAAGACTGTGATCTGATCTACTGTTGAATATGCTGCAGTACAAACTGTGACCTCTAGAGGGCCGGGTTCTGGTTCTGCTTCAAGTTGAAGATTTGAGATCTTCCTTTTAGATGCACTTTATCTGTTTCACACAAGTGTTTTGTAATGTTTTATATTTCTGAGACATTAATTTTGATATATTAAGTGATTATTAGATAAAGAATGTGTTTCTGGCCTCTTGTGTGGACTCTGGGTCAGGCGCAGGTCACACTCAGCTGCTGCTGAGCTCTGACAGCTTTACACTCAAGAGCCACACAGACACACGGAGGCAGTCGGGGGATTTTAATCCATCTGCGCCGTATTGAAAGGAGTGTCCCATAAACGGATGGGCAGCTGCAGTGAGCGCTCACACCCCGCACAGGAAGTACAGCCTTGAATCCCAGCGGGAGAGTCTAATTCAAACCAGCTCAGTGGAACAGCCAGAGGTGGCCACTCCCACTTCACTCTCCCTCCCTCTGTCTTTGCTGAATTTTGTTGGTTATGTTGCATATTTTCAGCATTGGGATATGTACTTTTATTTTCTGTATTGTCATGTATTTTAAGCGCACCCTTAAGCAAAAAATGTCAACTAACAATTCAAGGTTAATTCTACATTCTAAGGACATTCTAAGTGATATATTTTATATAAAATGTGTGCATGTTTCCTGGGATCTTTCTTATAAAACCGTTTCTTATAACAAATTTGTAAAGCACGATCATCAGACTATTTTGTTCATTAGGTGCTAAGGCCTCCTACTTATTTCTCGTGACTCTCCATCATTCACATCGAGCTTCAGCCGCTGCCCCCGCATGTCCTTAAAACACGTGCTTTCACAGAACAGCGCCGGCAAACGCCCACCTCCCCGACGTCCAGTCTCGACAAGCCAGAATCTTTTCAGGCAGCTCACCAAAGCCCTTTGTGGTCGCGCTGAGTCCCGGAAAGAGGAGGAGTGAGAGAGGAGGGGGCCAGTGCTCATTTAGATTGATTTGAGAGTGTGTGTGTGTGTATGTGTGTGTGTGGGGAGGGCAAGTCTGGAGGTCATCTGGGGCCAACCACAGAGGCAACAGGTCTGAGTGCTGCCGGATCCCAAGAAAGTGGCAGAGATGTGCTCTTGATAGGGATTCACTGGTTAAACACTGCATTCATCTTTCTGTTTGGGGAAATAATGGCAGTGTTTCTGAGAAGGGCCTGCTCCAATACAATATCCCCCTTTTCTACCATTTTAGTAAGACTTTTAAATATTATTATTAGTTATTGCCAATCAAATGTGCAGTTTTGCTAGTCATTGCTACAATCTTTGTCGTTTTATAGGTTGCTGTTTATATTCAATAGTATGACAATGGTGTTTTGGTGCGATGAAAATGTAACTTAAAGAATCCATCCACCAAGGTGCTTCACATGGCATTACTCATTCACTCCATACACAGTGGTGATAAACTACTGTGCCACAGCTGCCCTGGGGCACATACAGTAGCAAGGCAACCAACATGTCCCATCCGCCCCTCCCACCACCACCAGTCCTTCACTCACACCAGGCTCATACTCTGCAATGTGGGCAATCCAGGCAATATTCAGTCCATTGTTTATTTTATTTAAAATGGATCATTTTGATTTCTTAAAGAAAATATAAAGTTGTGTGTGGTGCTTTTAACCCCAGTGAGGACGTTGCAAACTCATTTCGAAGATGACTATTGTGAATAGCTGACACCCATCGCACTTTGAAGTCCCCTGGACCCCGGTCATCTCGTTGGCAAAAGCACTAACTTCCTTCCTCTCGTCACTGCTACGAAACCGGCCCACTATCTCATTTCCTATATTCAGGCCATGAGCGTAAGATGTCTAAAATTGCTGGTAGTAAACTGTCATGGGTGTTTGGCTGGTAATCGACTCTCCGTTCCGTCTCGAGAGGAAATAGACACCTCCAGCTGCTTGTGATGTCTGCCCCACATACATGTGTCTCCAAAGTCCTTTAGACGTCAGCCGTGCAGCGCTGGAATATCCCAATAAAGTAACAAGCCACCTGAACGCGCTTGTTTTGATATTGTTTGGCTTCTCCCTTCAGGTAAGAGCCGCGGCGCCTCTGATGATGATGATGATGATGAAGAGCTTGAAGACTTGTCTGATATGAGTGACGACGAGGGACTGGAGGATTACTCAGGTTTGTGTAATGTTAGATCAATTAGAGTCCAAGCTTAACTCTTTAGGCGCCCGAGCTTTATGTGATGCAGACAAAATGACTGGAGGCGTTTGTGGGAAGCCGGGTCGCTGTATAGAAAGTGACTGATTCAGGAGCTCATGTAACAATTCTACTTTAGCGCCTAAAAGGTCCTTGTTGGGGCTAGAATGTGGTAAAATTCAACTCATTTAGTTTTGTGTAATCTTCCAATGAAGACCTATAACAGAACATTTTCAATGAGGAAAACCAGAAACGTGTGTTTACAACATTCATGTAACTGTACTGTACTCTAATTGTACTGTAAGAAGACTGTAACAGCTTTTATTTAATTTTCATAGCCTTTTATTTCTTTACCTTTCTCAATACAACTGCTCTGTTGAGGGTCGTCTGGATACTGCCACGTTTACTCGCCACAGTAACGGACTGGAATGTGAATATCCCAGCGAGAGTAGTTACATTTCTGATTCATGCATTCAGACGGGATACAAAATTCTGGAGTTCATGGCTTTTCTCACAAGTCCACCTGGGTAAAGGCCTGAACCTGTCAGACCACTGAAGCTAAGCAGGGATTAGTCTCATCACTATTGTAATGGGAGACCTGGGAACACCATGTGTCACATTGGGACGACTGAAATGTTAGTGTACGTTAGTGTTGAAAGTAAACAAAAACCAATTATGTACTTTTTGATGCATTGTCATTGTGTCTGGCTTTTTGAACCTCTTGCATTGCATTCTATAAACTATTGAGTATATTTTTTGCTAGCGGTTGCTGGAGCTCTAAAGCGTCTATTCCTTTGCTTGTTTTGCAGGTGCTGAAGATGATGAAGAGAAGGCCGCGGGCACTGCTCAGCCCCTGTCTTCAGACGCTCTCATAAAACTGGCCGAGGGAGGAGAGGATGTGGTGCAGGACCTGGAGCTGTCTGATGATGACTGAGCTCACCTGAGACAATCATTACTACAAACTATTTTTACACCTTCTCTGCTCATTTGTTTTGCCTCATATGTACAGTGCAAACTTGTATGTGATGTAATTTTATCAACATTGAAAGTACATAAACAACTCGTCCACATCTGTTGCTTTTCCTGATCTAATGAAACTAAAACTACAACTGAATGCAGCTGGGGCCCCGAAGCTTATTTTTCTGTCAATAATAAAAAAAAAAATCTCAGCAAGCCTACAAATCAGACCACAACATGCCACAGTGCGTCACTATTTGACACTTTGTCACATCCTTAAAAACAAAGACCATCCTCACTCAATTTTCTCTGAAGCTTAAAACATATGTGGAAGCTAGTGATGGAACGGATTTGAATGCGTAAGTTTAGTTACATGGATTTATTGCAGGCTTTTGTGCCTGAAGGTCGTGGGTTTGAGCCCACCATGGGACTGACTAATTGCTCCCACAAACTCAAAATTTCCCCACTGTGGGACGAACAAAGGAACTTATCTTAATATCTGCTGTCGTTCTTGGGCATGACACATTGCCAGAAGCTTCCACTGAAACATCAGGGCAGTGGCATCACTGATGTAGCAGCAGCCATCTTCCCGTGGACTCGCCACCTGCAGAGGGTCGAGGGTCTGGTGCTATGAGCATTGGGTGGCAGCTCTGATTGTCACCCCCCCTCAACCCAGAAAGTGATTAATAAAGGGGTAGAAAATCAATGGATGAAATGACTCAAAATCACCTGCTCCATAAACTGCTTTTCCTCAACTGATGAGTGAAACTACCATGTCTTTCTCTCAAAACCAGTGGATTTGTGGTGTCATGTGCACACACCTGTAGCAGCCCCCAGGCCTTCAGAGCAGCCGCTGTTCGGAGCGGGACGACTGCGATGGGCCAAGTCGGGCTGGACGGACCAAGAGGAAGGGAGCAGGGGCAGTCAGCAGGCCTGAGGCAGCGCGGCGATGCCAGGCTGCCAGGGTCTTGTCTGATGCTGTGCCAAGTGTCTCTGCCCAGGTGGTGGAGCCGCACACAGGCTGCTCTGTCTGCGTGCCAGCCCCACACCCCCGCCCGGGCCCCTGCCTGTCTGAAGGCACCGACCAAGCCAACTGAATATTCCAGCTCATTTGAATATAAATGCAAGTAAAATAATTAATAAACATGGTATAGAAGCTCTGGTTCCGATCCGGTCGTGTTTCTATCGTTCGCAAAGATTTCAGAATTTCTCAGATGAAGACTAATGCAATCTTAGTTGTAAGGTTTCTTTGTTGGATATTTTGCCAAAAAGACTTTGGTTTTAGTGAAATCAATGTTTTCTGTCAATTGTACATGCACTTTGTCAGTGGTTGAATTGATTTATTGCCTGGAAAACTAGTTCTTCCCCGAGCAGTATCTGGACTGGTTGATATCATTGCAATTAAAATGGACTCAACTGTGCCTACAAGTTTGTATGAAATAGTTATCCTACCAGGATAGATTGCCCCCACCGATGTAAGTTACTGGTAAAATTATAGCAAAAACGGTATTACGTAAGCTCTCAAAGTGCTCTTAAAATATGAGAACAATAATAAACAAAGGCTGGTTGAATCCTTGCTAAAGTGAGGGAAAGTCCTGGGGGAGAGTGCAGAGCTACAGAATGTGTATGACGGGGTTAGGTTATCCCCCACTCTGAGGCCCTGGCCTGTGACTGAACCTCACTCTGCAACAGCTGCTGTTGACCTAAACTGTGCCTCGTGGGTCGCCTCCACACAGACCCCCAGTCACAGGAAGAAAACAATCTTTACAAACACCTGACGCAGGAGAAACAGACCAAGTGCACTGTTTGTTTAGGATTTATTTTGCCGGTGGTGAATAGAAAAATAGGATGAAGACAAACATTTTGAAGGGAAATCTAGAGATTTTTTTTAATTCATTGCTTAAAAAAATCATAAATCCAAAATGTTTGCATTAAGAGCTCTGTGCCTTTCTTTTCCCTGCAACCAAGAGAAAACAAAGTAAAATTATCTTTGGGGTCCATTTCAAGGGCTAATTATAATACATTTCATATTCTGTTTTATCTACTACATCAAAGTCCTATAAATATCTGTTCTCGTATTTATATGCTGAAGGAGCATTCAAGATTGGAGCATTTCTTAGTATTACCTTTTTAAAAGTGGCAAAACAAAAGTGAAAGTACCACAAATTCAGCAAGTCACATTTTTTAGTAAAGAAAACCTTTTTCGTGCAACTACAAATAACAAAAGTAAAAGTATCACGCATGTAACCTTCAGGGTTTTTTCCTCATGATTCTGTACAATTTGCATCTCAGTCCTTCCACCAGCAGTAGTCAGCACATGTACAGACACTGTCAAGGCTTCGTGACCTCAACTTTAGTGCCAGCTCCAGAGTGCATCGTGTTCTCGGGGTTCTAATAGTCTTTTCTTAATGCAAAATGAGGCAGACACCATGTGAAATGTGTTCATCTCCGCGCACCCAGTCATCTTTGGTATCGGGACAGTGGAATGCATAGTTAGCAGTGCTAGGACAGAGCTGGTCAGATTGTGTGCTGTTAGGCCTTTGAAAAGACGAGCCCACGCTGCTGTTTGGCTCCAGGAGAAAGGCTTGAGGAGGGTGCGGGCTTGTGTGCAGCAGTCACAGAGACGGCAGAAGGGAACGCAGAGCTTCCTCCAGCTCAGGAAGGAAGGACGAGTCTCCGCCTGTGTCTGACTCGCAAGAATGTCGCATGTGTGGAGCACGCTCCGGGTTTTTTGGCAGGCTGTCTGTGACCAGCTGTCTCTATCTCCTTTTTCACTATTCCTCTGTCGCTTCACTCCAAACTCTGCTTCTTTGGATTCTGCCACAATGCAGAAAAAACACCAGATCCTTTTGCCTTTTAATCCAGTCCAATACTTTCCCATGAAATCAGAGGTTAGGTCATGACAAAGTCTGGTAAAAGTAGCAAATATGAGCTGCCTTGATTTGTGAGACTACGAAGGCGTTTTTGCCTCGAAGCGCGGCACCATACTTGAGCTTGTACCGTTCTGTCGTTTGGGGGAGGAGGCGGCGGCGCTGTAAGGAGAGGAGCTGCTGGTGGCTGATGCAGGTCTGTTTGTTTGTGACACGTTTAGTGGCAAAGAGGAGTCCGGTGAGCTCAGGACCTCACGGTCTCGCTCTGGAGGTCGCAGGATGGCAGGTGGGAAGGGGAACGCGAAGGGGAAGCCGGTCATGTAGAAAAGTCGACCAAAGCGTCGGGCCACCTGTGGAACAGACAAAGCAATGTCAATGTTTCTGACTTTATCCAGTGTTACAGAGTGGACGAACGGGTTTCTATGGGGCAGGCTACTTTGAGTCTGTGCTACTCTACTGAGCTGTCCTACTGTCCCGCACACTCATTCTCCTTCAGTCACAGCTCTGGAGCCTGGCAGACGGCTGTACCTGGGTGCGGATCTTGAGGGCCGGGCCCAGCTTTAGTCCCATGGAGTTTAGCAGGTGCTCCTCGGTGAGCAACGGTAAAGTCTCCCCATCAATGGCCTGCTCCCGAAACACCTGGCAGAGACACAGCTGCTTGAACCACCGCAGCCGGAGCACAGGCACCACACCGGACCAGCGGTGATGTCAGACAACGTCACACCTCATCTTTTGCACAAGTCAAACTTGAACTGGTTGACTATGATATGGGCCATTGTGCAGTTTTTGGGAACATTTTAGGATCAGTAACACCCCAATCTAGCTGTAGAAGTCCAAAAGTACATTCTATAAGAAAGAAATAGGTCCTGTCGCACAGAGTTTGGAAAGATGCTTTGAGAATGTTTGTGCCAGACGTCCCAGATATTAGTGTGGATAAAAAAATAAAAAAATATCTAATTCATAATATAAGATCTTTAAAATGTTGTCAACAGCCAGGTCCTCCTATCTGCACAGCACAGTTTTTAAAAAGCTGTCTCTGATAACAAGCAAACTTTCAAGTGAATGCAACTTCATTCTCCTCGGCAGCAGCGTCATCTCTTCTGGGTTCATCAACTCCCCCACCAGGCCCCAGGGCGGAATGAGATTTCATCTCATATCCTGGTGTGGCCTCTGTTTAAATCTGTCTAGATTGAAATGGTCCTGACCAAGCCAAACTCAAGATCTGAAGATGGTTCCTCAAGTGCTGAACAGCAGGAGCCCTTTTGCCCCAGTGACGAGTGAGAAGGAATTGGTACTCACAGGTACCTTTACCTTAAAACCTTACTAACCTAACTAAACCTTACAGTATATGCTATATGTAGATGGTCAAAGTGGTCCAGTGGAGGGGAAAGTGTAACATAGAACATATCTGTCCATTTTTTTGTTTTAATATGTCTTAATATGGCCGAATGCCATTTAAACATGATTCGTTCATATTTTATCTATATTTGAGTTTGTGTATGACAAAGACATACACTATCCAACTTGAATACTAGAATCTAAATCCCTACATTGTGTCCAAAGACAGTGGTCTTAGCCTGCCCCGGTCCCCTCTACGGCTCGCGGCCTCTCTCACCTGTGTGTATTCTGCACATCCTGCCAAACTGCTTATGAAGCCACACACGTCCTCCACACTCCACTTGTTGATGTCCTCCACTGGGTTTCCATTGGACGAGTCCTCCCCATCCGTGAAAAGACCTCCCATCGCACCTAGAGCAGCAGCAGTGGTTCATTTTAAAATATATTCATGTTAAATGTTTGAGAGACAATAGGAAATTATTAGACTATTAAACTATATCTTAAATAGTTTTTTGTCAATTTGTCTATACATGTTCAACCATCTAATGCCATATTTCTTACTATAGTCTTTTTAAATATCTGATATTGTTGTAATTCTAACCCTTGTAATTAATATGGTTAGCAGCAACCAGATGAGAAAATCAATATTATCCTGGAAGTGTATATTTCAATATTATCCTGGAAGTGTATATTTGAGGGGATGCAGTGGCCACGTGGCAGGGGTCACACTGGGGTGACCAGGGGCCCATCGCACTCTGGAGGCACAGTGACGCTAATGGCTTTCACATGTCGTTGTGTTTGGTTTGTGTGTGTTCAGGAGGTGTGCGTAGGACTTACCAGAGTGAAAGTAGGGGCTGGCGTAGGGGAAGCCGAACGGGAAGCTCTGGCCGTGAAGCGCGGGCAGTGGAGGCATGAAGCCAGGTGGAAGGTGAAACTTGACGTCAGATTTGGCCTGTTCCGCAGTGAAGAGGCGGCTGGGCGAGTCTGTCTCTGATGAGCTACAGGGGGCGCTGGTTCCACCTGATCTGTCAGTGCTTTCTTTAGCCCTGACACACTGTCCTTTAGAGCCTTCTCTCCCTTCTCTGTCCTTACTGCTGGACTTTGCCTTTGCTCCTTCCGGTTTGTCCACATATGTGTCTGCATCACTGTCAGAGTCCTCATCGTCATGGTCTTTGGGCAGCTGGCTCCCTGCGCCTCGACTGGGGCTTTTCCGTGAGTCAGAGCCAGTGGCCGAGCTGTGTCCGTGGGAGTCTTTGGGTGTGGAGGTCCCTGATTGTGTCTGCTGGTTACGAGAGACAAAAGGTGTTGTAGCTCCATGACGTAGCACCAGCATTGCACTGCGCCGGGCGAGTTCCTCCCTCAGTGGATGGCCGTCGGGCAGGTCCTGGATGTTACGGAGGGCAGGGTGGTCAGCGGGCAGTGTGCCCACTGAGTCAGAGCCCAAGACACGCTGCTGTCGTTGGAGGTTCTCCAACTCCTTCTGCCTCAGCAGCTCAGCAGACATCTCAAGTCTGTTCACACAAAAGCACCAAAGAATGTTTAAAACACAACTAAACACATGGTTTGACTGGGATGCTGTCATGGTCTTTGAATGAGTAAAACAGTAAAAAATGTGTACCTGGCCAAGTTCTGTTTCCTCAAGATTTCTTGTTGCCGTGCAAAAATCTCAGCTTGAGCAGGCGGGAGGAAGCCATAACCTATGAAAACATATTTTTATTGGATTATAGTTTGCTGAATACCAAGTTCACGCTGGGATCTATACATAGAAGAATCTGGAATCCCATCATATCTCAGACACAGGCTTTAAGTGATGAATGTACAGAGGCGGCTACTTGTGAGCCATTGAGTGGCTGCAGTTTTTTCTCCAATCAGTCGCCACAGTGGGGGACTTCACTGATGAAGCCCATAGCCTCGACTGGAGGCTCAGATAATCAGAAGCTAACGTCTAATTTTCGGTCCACTGCTGCTATATGACTCAACTGCTTTCCTTGTGCACTCACCTGGCGCCTGGCACAGAGCAGTGGGCATGCCCAGGAAAGGAGGCCGCAGGTGAGGTCCTAACGTAATGTGGGGGGCCGTGGGAGGAGACAGCAAAGGTGGAGGCTGGGTGAGATCCCTGTGGACACAAAATGGAATAGCTTTATGTTTGTGTTTTAACAAATACTTTAATGAGTCATTAATATTGATGAAACTGTTGCTGTAAAAAGATAAACAAGGGGCTCCTGAGCTTCTGCTCTGCGGTCGCACAGTGTATGTGGAGTATTTTTATCAGAGCGGCTCAGAGGCCTCTGTGTCGCCCCAGCGCCTCATCAGTCTTGTCACGCCGCTGCAAACGCCGCTGGCCATAGCTGTACCCTGGACGCGGCCTTCCCTCCCCTGCCACTACACACACACACACACATGCACAGACAGCGCAGCTACACATAATGAGGGCTGAATGCACAATGCCAGTGTGTCATGCTCTGACAGCTGGGGCGGCCCCTGCGTCTTGACCGGGGCCACGGGCTGAAGGACCTCCTAATTAACACTCATCCGCCCGCTCCCTTTTTTGCGCTGTTTTCCCTCCCTCGCTCCCTCTGCTCTCTGGGCGGCTGAAAAGGATGGCGCGTCATGCAACCTCCGCTTCTGAAAAGGCCTCTCCTTATTGGTTTCATCTTTTGTCCTCCTTCAGGGGGACGGCGCCTCTCACCTCTCTGAGCCGCTCTCTGTCTGAAACATCTTTGCATTGTTTATCTTGCCGGCTGCTATACTTCACCAAAAAGGCTTTTTTTTCGTATTTTATTTTGATTATTCATCTTTATAACTTCAAGTTTACATGTGTCCATTATTGGTCTTATTACACTTTAGAATTTGTGCTAAGTAGATTTTCTGTAAATTTTATCCAATCCTTCTCATTATTGGTATCTGGTAGATTTTGTGTTGATAAAAGAATAAATCCGGAACCTGCATCAATTTTTAAGCTGTAGTGGTGACCAGGCGAGGTTTGATCATTCAGCTGGGACCTAACTATGCAGAGGCTTTAGCAAACACTATCTGCAGTGACTCAAAAGAACATTATACTAAGGAAAGATGACTCCCACAGAATGGGGAGTCATCCCTACTTTTTCCCTGTAGTATTCTGGTTAGAGCCATTTTTGGGGACCATCACAGTTTTTCCTCTTCCTCCAGAGCTGCTGCTATCACACCAATCAGGGCTCAGCTGTGTGTGACGGCCGCCTCACAATGCTTACATGAGAAACAAGCTGAGGAAAACAATAAAATCAGACCCAACATGGGAACGCATGCAACCGCAAATATTGTTTTGCAACCGTGTTCAAATTACCTAGCGCCTGCATGTCTCCCGCCTCACTAAATGGTGAGGGAGCAGAGGGAAAGGCGGTGTGAGTGTGGAGATGAGATATAGAGGGGGTGGAGGAGGAAGTGGTGGGGGCCATTCATCGATCGCCTCCGCCGCTGAAATGTTAATGCTAATCGTATAACCGCTCTCTCCGGCGGTGCCTCGCACTCCAGTGGCAGCTCCAATTAATCTTGGGTGAGGGCTGTGGCGCATGACCCCGCAGCCGTGAGCGGGGGCCTCGCTCTCCGCTGCTTATGTAATTACACCGCCCAGTGTGTAATCACCTGGCCTAATCCCTGGAGGCTAGCAATTAGCCCTGCGACGCACAGTTCCACTAGGCTACGCTAGGCACCCGCCACAGAAAAAAACACACACACTTTAGCCCCCATGACTCCAGCCCGCCAGTGTCCCGTCAGCCCCCACCCTCCATTCTATTTCCTCCTGCTTTCTTCTCCTCAGCGCCGCCTCCTCTCGGCGAGCGCTGCCCGCAGATGAATAACGGTCAATTAAAGCTGCATGGCTGGGGCTGCCAGGCGTCTGCGCCACCATAATTAGGCCTAATCACGGGGAGCGAGAGAGACGCAAGGCAGAGAGACAGTCCCTTCCGCTATCTCTCCTGTCTTTCTTCTTTTATAGGAGGCAATTTTGAGGGAGGAGTGTCAGACATGTCGTTTTGCTCTGGGCTGTGTGTTTGTGTGTACGCCTGTCTGTCTGTCTCCATGTGTCTCTGTGTCTTCATGTGTCAGTGCGCCCTATCTGTACGTTTTGTTCACAAACCACTAACAGGCTATAAAAAGACGCGCACAAACACCTCACACAGCCTACTTTTTGCATGTGGACTGAAGACTTAGATAGAGGTGGGCTCATAATCAAACTATTTGGCTGGATGCTGTGTCTCCTGCCTGCAGTGAGACCAGGGGCTCCTGGGGAATTCAGTGGAGTGTGACGACCTGTCAGAGTGCGACAGGCTCGTCCCGCTGCAGCCTGGGCGGAGTGTGCGCGCTGTGACAGGGCTGCCCTTAATGACGGAGCGTGGGGGGATTAGGAGCGCCGTGCGGACGCCCTCGGCTCCGTCTCCGCAGGAACACATTTACACAGGAAGCTCATTAAAATGGATGAGGCTCCCTCGTGCTCTCCCGGCCCGTATCTCGCACAGCGCCCGCCGCCTCCTATCGCACGCTCTCCTCCTCGCTTCATCTCTCACTTGTTCCTTCCCTTCCTCTGTATCTCTTTTTCTTTATTTTATCTTGTTTTCCAGCCTCTGTCTTCTTCCTATTTGCCTTGCAGATGCTCACGAGCTTAGTGCCATTTAAGGCCAGACAAATGGAGCGCCAGGCTCTAAGCCCATCGAGCGGCCCTAATGATTTGTTTTTAACAATGGGTCCTAATGGGCCCCAGATAATCAATGATGAGGGGTCGATGGAAAGGTGAGCCACAGTTAGAGCGTCTTTAACTCACTTCCTCGCCTCACTGTCGCTGAGAACGAGAACAAATATTTGTGCTATTGTAGTTTTGACTTGTATGTGAATAAAAACTGTTTTCTGTGTCTTTATTAGAATCTAGATTAAATACAATCTATGTTGCAATTCTTTTCGTACAATGAAAAGTCATGAGAGGCCATATGCAGAACACTGCAGTGTCGGGAGCGTGACTTCAAAGGAAGCCAGTGTGAGTCACAGACCGGAACAGTACCAAAACTGGGACTGAGGTCCATGGAGTGCAGTGTGAGCCAGGCGTCAGGATCACAATCTTCAAAATAATTAGCAGCTATGGTAAAAGATATGAGCGGAGATATGGGCGAGGTGAAAACCGGAAATGACAGAAAACAGTCCCATAGGGTCCCATATTAAGCTTTTCTACTTTTCTATGCTTTAAACATCATTACAGTGCTATTTGATCTTCATACACAATGATTCCTTCAAACTTTAGTTAGAGAGCAATCTTTCAATTTACAATAGGCAGCAAAACGCCTCGGTTCGCATTGATCACACGGAATTCAGGCATGCAGCCTCTCTTAAGTGTATGGTCCTGCGTTTACCACATCGAGCTCTGCTTCTTTTCTGCTATTGTCATTGACTAAAAGTTTTAGCATCATGTTAACTTGGAGAAAATGTGTTTTTGGATATAAATATGTGACGACACTATTTGGCCCAAAGACGAAGAATGGGACGAATATGGCTGGGCTTTCTATTCACGGGCATCTGCCTCTGAAATCCGCAACAAATCTGTTTTTCTGCCAGCAACACCACCAAAGACTGCTTCCAGAATTATGAAACTAACCCTATGAAATGATAACCATGAAACTAGACTTACTCAAAAGCTGATCTTGAAACCTGTTGTTATTCCCACAATAAAAGACGCTGACAAGGAGCATTGATCAGATCTAAGTAGAGTGCCACAATCTCACCGTATTCCACTGTTAACTAAATAAATAGGGTCTGATTCTGGATCAAGGACATAGGGCTCTACGTGACGGGTGATTGTTGGTAAAAGTTTATTCTCAGGTCTAAAATGACTTTGTACCGGTGTCCCACGCGGTGTGTCTACAAAGTCAGTGTGAGGCTACGTCACAGCACGGGTGGGGGGAGGGGGATCACAGACAAAGAACAGAGATTCACTTGTTTCAATTGAGGTGATATCACCTCTATGCAAGAAATGTTTTTGAGTGTTGTATGGTGTATCACCCAAATTCCTATCACACATGTGCATAGGATGGACTGTGAAACATGAATAAGAATGAAAAATGGGACCTTTAAAAGTCTCAAATTCATTCAGCAGGAAAACTCAAACACATATGAATCAAAATCACACTTCAGATGGTTTTAGCGATGTAAAACATTATTTTCAAAGAAAGATATATATATAGATATAGAATATAGATGCATTTCTTTTGCTCAATTGATTAGTGATGTCAGCTTTGGACAATACTTTTGGTCCAAAACAATGGCTGTCGTGTCATGTATGTTAAGACATAATTGGAAAATGTTAAGGGAGTTCTCTATGTATATCCGGGACTTATAAAGAGTGAAAACATATCTTTTAGTATTGTGGTATAAACTGGTGTGATCTCAGATTTGAAGTAACAAGTAGACTTTTCATGGCACTGTGATGAAGGGTGGAGAAACAACATTACTCATTCTAGTTAACCATTTAAAGTGACCTAAAAAGCAGAGTGTATGTGAGAGTTTAAGAACACATGGCGTGTGCTCAGGAGGGAGGGGCTGAGGCCTAACTGTGCTCTGCTCCGGTGTGGCTAATTACTCTGCTGTCGGAGAACAGGCTGACTGCACCTTAACACTGGACACACACACGAATTAGCAGACATATTCGCACAAACAGACCCAATTTCAGTGTGCACAGATGAGCACGCACGGCTCGAGAAATGGAGCAAACAAACAGGCGAATCTGTGCTTCCCGCCTCAGCACACACACCCCCATCACCACAGCGCCTGCCTGGCCACTGTGCTTCCTGCCCCCCACCCCCTCTCCTCTGCGCACACACAAACGCACGCACACCCTCCCGCTGCTGCACCGCCGGCCTATTATCGATCCCCCGCCTTTCCCCGCGCCACATAAATAATCGACAAGCAATTACCCGCCCACTCCCGCTGCCCCCGGCTTTGTTTGGGAGGCGAACGGGCCGTGGCTGGGGGGAGGGCGGGGGAAGAGCCAGGGATGCAGGCGTGCGGCTCCACAGCAGCAGCCAAGAGGTTATTGGATCCTTAGTTTAGCCGTGTTCGTACACACGGCCTTACACAGACGTGCACCGAATAGTGAGCAAGAAATGAAATCGTATCAAAATTGCAGTAAATTTCTTAGCAACATAAACCAGAAATACTCACTGTGTGTCACCTTTTACTGTGCTATATATATAAACCAGATATATTGGTTTATGTACACGTATAATAGGATTGGACTGAGTGTGACGTCACCCATACCGTTTGGATTTTACCGGAAGAAGCCAATTTTATCTGCTCCATAGAAACCTGATAGCGACCAAAGAGCCAATCTCTTCCATTCTCTCTTGGCATATACATTAGCTGAAGACATAGAAGGAGCCTGATTGGTCAATATATCAATAATATATCAATAACAAAATAAAAACACCAAGACCATATAGAATAATAAAACCCCAACCCAGTTTTAAGCTCAAAAGGATGAGTCCAAGGTAAGATTTAGACCACTGAATTCATATGAAACTGACCAGAATGTGTTTTCTTGTAAAATCCTGATTTGTATTTAGGTCTGAATAAAGAGAGGGGGACTCTGATCGGACCCAATTGAACAGGTGGTCTTGGGTCACTTCCAATCTCACTCTGACTGCTGCAATTGTTCATGGTCTGAGTAAAAATGGTTATTGGTTTTAGACCAATAGCACAATTTCTTGTTTGTCCCACCCCTTCCTCATAGGGATTATTCTCATACATGTGCATTTGTTTACTTCAGATATTCTGCATTCAACCCTTTTCTGGTCTGAATACACCACTAACTATTTACTTTTCGGTGAAAGCCTGCCTTTGCTTTTGTTCTTAGAGTAGACCTAGTTTTCAGTTCTGGAGTTGATCGTTCCGTAGCCCTAATGTAAAGTAAACTTCGACTATCACCCCCTGAACAGAGCCGCAGATCGTCCTAGTGGAGCTGCCTCTTAGTGGAACGTCCAATACAAGAAGTTCATGTACAAGTAAAACCGAAACTTGTACAAACTTACCATTCTGTTTCTTTTTGGACCAAATCAAAGTCAAGTCATTTTTTAAGTAAATGTTACCTACATTTTTAATACAATTTACACACTCCTGGACAAATGGGGCTACTTTTTCCCAAAAAGTAGCGCCATTTGCCCTTTTTCAAAAAATGATCAGGGTCAGTATCAGACAAGTAGGATTTAGTTATTACCTGTCTGTATAGTGTGCGTCCCGGTGCTGTGGCAGCCCCTGTTTGCGCCTCTGGCTGGACGAGGATGAACTTCCTGAAGGTAGATGAGCCTCAAGAGTTGGACTCCTCACAGCAGCTACCAGTGCCTCCTGATGAGCTCTGAGCAGATCTGAAGAAAGAGGAACACAGTATTTCACTACAGGCAAATATAGTTCTAGTAGGACTCTAGTAGGTCTTCTGCAAACAATCAAAATGATAAACAAAAAGCCTTTTACCATCGAAAATCAGCCACTAAGCTGATTAACTGTTGTGCACAATCTTCTAATCCATTAAAGGCACAAGATAAGTGACCAACACAGATGAAATGTTGTCGCCTAAAGGTGCACAATCTTACTTTTCTGTCTGCCACCTGTTTGTCTTCATGGAGATATTATTCTTCCACTGTTCAACAGAAGGTAAAGCTGCGTGGCCTGTAGATTGAAATTTGTTCAGTATGGATGTTCATAGGACTCAAATATATGTATTTTTTTCTTTCTTTTTACAGATTGCAGTGTCTCTTCTCCACAGATCTGAGCTGTAAACTTGCATGGTAAAAGCACCTGCTTGTGAAAATGAATGATCACCACAGACTAAAATTACAGCTTTAATGATTGTATAGCAGAATGATATAGTGTTCTGAACTTATTTGGGTTTTTTTTAAGAGCCAGTGCCCATATATATGCTCTCTTGGTCCGGGGCATTTCACAGCCCTTTCACCTTGAACTGCCGCTGCTCTATCTCTCACCCCTCCCTGCTCCCAGCATGCCCCGCTTCCCCCTGCCCTCTCTGGAGAAGAGGCCTCATCATTATCAGCGCCAGCCCGGCCACACCAGGAGACACGGCTTCTAATGAGAGAAAAATCCATCCCTCCCTCTCTCTCTCTGTGCGTGCTCGCTACCTCAATCTATCTCCACGCTCCACTCCGCCGCCCCCACTTTTTTAATTAGACAGATCCCTCGGGAGCTAGGGGCCATTTCCGCTGCCGGTACGGGGTGTGATGCGCGCCTGTGTGTGTGTGATTTAGGTGCGTGTGGCGGGGAGGATGGGAGGGTGCAGAGGCGACAGATATTAATGCGTCCGAGCTCTGCCGTATCGATCTGTTTGCTACGCCGGGCCGCGGGGGACGAGGCTGGCGGCAGACGCGGGTGTGTGTGTGTGCTTAGGAGGGGGTGGAGAGGGAGATAAGGCCCAGATCAGAGGGAAGCGGACACACACGCGCGGGTCGGTGCAGGGCCGGGGTGGCAGGTTGACCTCTGCGAGTTTCCTGTGGTCACGATCCCACCTCGCCAATTATTTTGTACGGCTAGAGCGGTTAAAGGGGCACTTTGGCAATTTTCTGTGGCACTTCCATTACAGACAGCAGGCGGCAACATTCACACAGAATGTTTTGGAAGTTATGTTATGAGTAGACATTTTTGGTTATATATTACTTTTTGGATACTACATTATGCAGTAGAAGCCACAATGTAGTATTGACATGTCCAATGACTGAGTGTACTCAGAAATATGACTTTAAACAAAGTCTGACGGGGAACTTATGACAAACAACCGATGCTGTTGCAGGATAGTGTTGATCCAGGATATTTATTAACATTTATGGGCATTGGTCAGCCCACTTCCCTGTGGACCAATTGCTCCTTTGTGTTTCTTACTATTACTGTTCAATTGACAATTTTGCAAAGTCATCCGAGATGTGTGCTGTTGTGAATTAGGGTTACACAAATGACGTTGAATTTATTTAAAGCCACCCTGTGTAATTTTTACAAATGCTCCATATGAAAAAACATGTTAACTAATAACAAATGTGACCTTTTTAAGAATATTTACCTCCACCATGTTTTTTTAATTGTATTCATAGGCTTAGAACTTAACTTATAAGTGTCCGAGAGGAGTGCTCTCGGTGTCAATGCGCCATCTTGAAAAACGGTGGTGGATAAGGGACAAAAAGGATGTGAGAATCGCGTTTTTGTTTCACATGAGCTACTGATATCGTTGCTTTCACAAGTTGGAAGAAGGAACCACAGAGGACCACAGTTATGTAAAAGAACAATCCAAACAACAATCTCTTAGAAAAATAATTATGCAGAAGTCCAGCGTTTAGCAGCAAAGTGTCCACATCGCAAACCACACGCACAAAGACAGCGTTAACTCAACAGGAGGCACATCGTGTAGTTTGTACACAACAGACTCACACGTGAACAATACGTAACTTTTTTCACACTGACAATAATGAGAACGAGGCAGAATCTGCAACACAGTCTCAGGATGTCCTGACCTGATCCGAGCACAGTCCAACTACAGTACTGTCACAAGTTTCAACTAAACTTATTCAGGGAAAAAGCCTCAAATAAAACACACAGAATCCCCACAAAACAATCGCCAGAGTACTTCATCAGCAGCGTGAGTGAATGTTCTGTTTCTTACCGTGATGCAGATAGGGCGCTGTGGCTAACGCTAATGGTAACATGAGCTTTTAGCCATGTCCTGCCGCGGCTCTTTCTCTCCTGCTTCTTTGATCATCGTAGTTTTAAGCTCCCACAGACATTATTCCTCCATGCATCTCTTCTCTTCACACCGCGTTTGTAAAACTTTGTTATAATAGTGTAACATACTGTTTAGCATTTTGCATCAGGCAGTTAAGCGGCCACCCTTGGTTATCCTCTTGTGATTTGAATGTGAGAAATAAAGCCAGAGCCGGTACGGCTGCAGTTGGAAAAGAGTCTCTCGTTTGTGCTCTCAGAGCTAAATACATTTTACAACACTATCTAGACCTTCTCGGTTACAATAGATCCATGGTAAAACTCAGTAGAGCCTCTGTGCAGGGTGCCGCGTCTGAACGCGGTCTTGTTTACATGTCGCCTCCACGCGACTGTCAAGTGCCCGAGACGTTTGGAGAGATCCGGTCACTTATCAAACTAAAGTATTCTTTCCTTGGCAGTCTGGTGAATGACTGAGAGTTGAGGGCAACTGTCAAAGACAGTGCTCCTCAACTCAAAGGCTAACTCAAACTCGTACTATATTGGACTACAATATAAAATCTCAATGCTAGATGGCACTAAAAATTACAGTGTACCTTTAAACAACCATCAATGGCTTCAATGGATCGAGCTACTATACATTTTTTTTACTTGGCTAGATACAGTTTTTTTACTCTGTTCCTAGGTTTTCCGTCATTGGACCATAAAGATCACAGAACCATTAGCTTTTTAAAACTGTTTGTAAAATAACTATACCTTTATCAACTAAATGCATGTTTTTTTCCGGTTTTATTGTTGTTTTGCTTTTGTATGAATGTAGTTGTTCTGTGTGGCAACTCATTGAGCCCTCCCGGATATGATGATTTTGAAGGCAATGTGCTTACTCCATACTTAGAAAAGCATGTAATACAAGTACTTTTTATTTAGTGCTTTCCACAGAACAGGGTCACACGAAGCACTTTACAATCTTGTGTATTTTGCATTTACACCACACTGTGATGGCGGAAGTGGGACTGATGCACAGCTGGTGCTACCGGACACTCTGACCACCCCCAACCCTAAGCTGAGAGAGAGAGTTGAACTTGGGACTTTCTTGCTGGTTATATCCTATCCTTCCTTAGTTTTGATCGGCATGAACGTATGGATTAGGCAATCACCGGGCACTCGCAAAAACTATTAACATCAAATCAAATTTTCCCTAAATTACAAAACATTTTGTCAGAGAGGTGGCAGAGTATCTAGTAACCAGACTGGTAGGTCTGTAGAACATACAGAGATTACCAGTCTAGATTCCAGGCTACCAAAACCACTGCGCCCTCTTTGTTTTCCAGAATAACATATGCTCAGATCCCCCTTTGCTAAAACTCATTATATTGCAGCTGCTGTTTCAGGCTAAACTGGTGGTGGAAATGAGAGTCCTAATTGAGCACAATAACACATAACACTCACATCTCTGTCTGCGAGTTTGCATGAGTTATTTCGGGAGGTCCCAGTTTCCCACTTAGACCAATCCAGCTTATCCCTCCATTGTGCCATCCCATTTTCCTCCCTGCCATCGCTTCTGGAGTTGGCCCTAAATCCCTGTGGTTAAGCCGGGCTTTCCTCTGCGTGAGAATATGGAATAGTTGTGAGCGCATGCAGACCAGCCAGACGTGTGGAGGATTTGAGCGCTGGCAGGTACACAAAAGACGACATCCAACTGTGATTCCAGACAACGGTAAATATTTTATCAAGACTGTACTACTACTACTGCCAGTACCATGTGGTTAGAAGGACTATGAGGATATATCTTATTTACATTATCAGTGAACAATGAAATATGAAATTAAACGGGGTATATCATGTGACCATTACTGCACAAAATTATTCATCTAGATTCTAGATAATACAAGACATTAAACAGACCAAATCTTGATATGTATACTTGCTAAATTAGAAGATCATCTTGAAAAAGGATAAAGAACCTGTAGATCCGAATCTACAGGTTTGTGACCACTGTTTTAGTTTTGGCAACAAAGATATTGCATCAAATATTGACATAAAATCAATCAGACAGCATACCACCAGACATAAAGAACAGTGCAATAGTCTTGCCCAGTCAATCAACCCTTACTCTTACCAATTAACCCAAATTTTGGAATCTGGACACGGTAACAGGTGCCGAACCAGTTTCACCTTCTATGCATACTCCTTTTTAACCACGGGACAAAACATAAAACGCCACTCCTCCAGCCTTTTTGATCAGAACGCCCCGCCTCTTCTTGTCTCTCCTTTCATCATCAGGAGGTGAGCGGGGAAGCCCTTCCAGCCATTTCCATTGCGCCTCACTCCCTCCTCTGCCCATCAAGTTCAGCAAGGGCCTCTCCAAAAACACCTTGCACACTCTTACACCCCCTCCGCACTTTCATTTTCAGCGTCCCACACTTCAAACACATGAAAGGATGCTCTGCCGGGACCAGGGCTAAAGGGAGAGCTGGAGGTGATGGTGGTGGGTATGCGTAGAGAAATAGGAAGGGGATTTTCAAAACAGCACTTGTGGAGCATTGGGGATGGGATAGTTGAGTTGAGGGTCATAGGGGCTGTGCAAGGTCAAAGCCAAGGACTCTCTTAACAAAGCGATCTCAATATCCCAGTGGGCCTAAACAGCTGTCTCTATGTCAGACAGTTTAATATCTCGCAAGTTTCGCTTTCCTAACAAGCTCCAAACTGTTAATTAGAGAAGGATAGATGTGGGGGTAGTGTTAGAAGAAGTTTTCCCTTTGTAAATGGCGAGGGGACATACAGAGGAAGTAGCCAGGTGTGGAACTAAACGTTAACGCAAAAACTTGGCTGCGAGAAGTGCTGGCAAAAGCTGTGAGGCCCGACCACTTAAAATATCTGATAGAGAAAACAGAAGAGATGCAGACACTTCCACGGGGACGATAATGAGGCGTAAACTTGTATTTTGATTGGAGTTATACACACACTGTTTTAACTCATTTCGGTGTCTTGTTGGCAGATGGTAAAAGAAGGTACCTGGAAATGTTGTTGTTTCCATCAACAATCGCAAACTGTGTCTTCACCAGCTGCTTTTGTTGTATTTAGAAAAGTACAACTACATTCTCATGTTTGGGCTGTTGCACATCTTTCCGCAAATGTTACTCTGTACAGTATGTGTCCTGTCAAAAAGTTGTTGGGCAAGAAAATCAACAAAGGAAATTACAAAACGTATAGACTCTTGTTTGCTTTCTAACTGCAGGTGTATTTTAGTTGGAGCTGAAAAAGGCATCATACTAAGTCAGACTCAGATCCTCAACTTTGAATCTGTGTCAAATCACCCAACTCTTTAACACTTTCCAGTGTAAATGAGAATATTTATGAAACAGTATTGACAGGAATTACCATATTGATTGGGTAATCAGTAATTACGATTATACAGGAGTACAGGAGTATTAAACATCAGATGTTAATTAATACTCAAATTGAATAGTATAGTAATAATTGTAATACATTCATTTTTTAGAACATTTTATACTTAAGAAATGTTTTACTATGTCTTATTCTTTCTCTACTTTTGACTTGTTTGCACCGAGAGCCAAAGAAATTTCCTAGTCTGTGACTTCCTGTTTCTTACACGGCAATAAAAAAAAAATCTGATTCTGATTATTATTCAAACATCAATACAGAAAAGGTTATTTTCCGGAACAAAAAGATTATCGGGGCAATTTGAATGGTTTTCATTTCAGAACTAGTATAAAACTTTTGTTGTATTGTTATTTATGAAAAACATTTCAGCTGTAGTTTAGTATTGTGACATCTCCACAGTGCACAGAATATTTGATGTATTTTAAAATTAGTATTTGAGACTTATTTATATTTATACTAGACTAATTTTCATAAAGCTGGAAAAGTTTAGTCATTATGTCAAAAATGTGCAGTAATTATGAAATGTTGATGTATCTTCCAAGAAGAACCGACCTAAACGCTCTTTAGACAAAAAATGTGGGTCAGAGCATGTTGTTGGCTTCAAATGTTGGCTCTAATAACGTGTGAATATCTCTCATCCCTCTTTAACCCCACCTTTCAAGTATTCAAAAAAGACTTTTGTACAGTTTTTGCTAAATGCTAAAGTTATTCCATAAGAAGAAACAATCACATGTTCATTTTCAACTTAAATCAACCAGAACTGAAGAATTCTATGGAAACGATCAAACTGAGGAATGTGGAAGTGAGCGGCGTGTCGGAGTTGCGCCACATCGTCTGCCTCTGAGCACTGAGGCTTCTGGGAAAAGGAAGCCGCCGTCAGACTTCACCCTGGGTCATAAAATCCCCCTGCCCGACCACGTCTCCTCCAAGACACAAGGAAAAGGCTATTAAACTGTTTATAAGCTTCGCCCCCTAGATTTGCAGCCGGCAATTAAAAATCATTACTAATCAAATAAAAATAAAAGTAGCTCCAAGTACAATTCAGGCGGCGCTGTAGGGATTTATGCTTCGGCAAAAGGGCTCGTAAACACTGCAATGGCTTAATGTATGCTCTGTACAAAAATGAGAAAAGGTTACACTTTAATGGAAAACGCAGTGAACATGCATAAAACTAACTTATAAAACTAAAACAGGGCAGGATTCCCAATTGGCTTTGCAGCTACTATTCTCTTAAAAACAGTTTTTGTTTGTGCGTATTGACAGAAAGCGAGTAAAAAGCAGGACAAGTACATTTCAAGGCTTGGAACTGGGCCAGCGAGAGCCCGATCAATGGTTGGCGTTGAAGCATGCAAAGGATTGTGGGTGTTAACACAGAGGCGCGTGGTCAGAAATCACCCTGAGTGACACACGGACGCTGGGTGGGAAAGCTCTACAAATAGAAATGTCAGCGTGACTGTGGCTGGGGCAGAGCCGGCAGCGGCGTGGCACGCTTTAGCGCAGCACCCAGAGCACAGAGCTCTCACTCGACACAAGGGAGGGAGTTAGAAAGGCTTTAAGGGTATATTATCATTGAATATAAAATCCTTAGCTTCACCATATGCACCATAACACACCATATACTGATTGTTACATTTAAACCAGTAATTACACAACATACAAACAACTCTCAGAACAAACCCAAAAGAACATGTTCAATGGGATAATCACACAATTATCTGAAACCAGGATCATTTGGATGAACAAAGTTTAATCTAGTAGTCATTTTTCTCTTGGCTGTATTGGTTTGCATGGGGCAGCCATTCTCCACAACTGTAACGCAGTCAGTTAAGACGGTTTAGTTAAGATCAGGAGACCTGTGTCCCACTCTGCACACACATCTTTCCGACATGGGTCCCATTATTATCCCCCGCATTCAAGTGCTCATCTGTGCGCTTTGGCCGGACTTATCTCCCACTGTGGCGCTGCATGTGCCCACAGCGGGTCACGCTGGCACACGGTGCTCTTTCCTTCGCTCTGATGGTGCTGCTTCTTTTCCCACTTGACCTATCTCAGCCCTCACACACACTGTGATTCTATTGAATCTATAAATATCTGTATTGCTGTAATTTTTTGGGGAAACGAGCGTGGATCTAATAATAATAAAAGTCAGAAAAGCGCAGTGAGACTCTGAGGGCTTCTCAGTGATGGAGGAGTTAGGAAAAAATGTTTCCTCCACTGTTTAAAACTACTTCAAAAGCTCCAAAAGTGGTTCTCAGTGCATGAGGCTGCTTGTTCTTCCAGCACTGCTGTGAAGGTCCAAGCCCCAAAGTAACGAGCTGACAAAATTCACCAGTCATAAATACTTTACTACACACATCAATCTACTTTATATAATATCTTTGGATCTTTATATTTCATGTTAAGATCCATTCATTCATCTTCCATTTCTAGCTTGGGGGAGTAGCACTGAAAGCTGCCACCCAATTCACAGAGCACCTGCCCCTCACGGATCCTCGTGCAGGTGGTGTGTCCACAAGAGGACGTTAAGATATGATTTGGACAACAAAAAGGTTTACTAATGGAAGAACATTTAAGATAAGACTTAACGGAGCAAATTCACTTCACCGCAGACAATTGGGATCCAGACACAAATCAGGGTTCATAAAGTCCTGTTAATGAATCCACTAAAAATGATCAACGTAATGAAATGAGACATTGACAGCAGCTCGTTTGCACTGACCGTGTCCAGGCAGCCCCATGCTGCTGGCTAACTGGTACAGTCTCTGCTGCTGCTCCTCGTAGCTGCTCACTTCACTCAGACTGGACATCATCCTTCTGTAGTGGTCTTCAGGACTCATGTGACCCACACTGCCCCCTGCCTCTGCCACCGGGCTCTGCGGGTTCTCTGTGGAATAGAAGGCAAGATAAATACTTAAATACTAAAATAAAAAAATCAAATCTAGAAATGGCAACATTGAGCTGGAAAAAAAATTGTTTTATTTCATCTTTATTTATCTTTAAGCCCAGACCCAGAGACTTGGAAACAGCTACGCAAATGCATTTCCGGTCACTGGTGTCTGGCACTTACAAACAAACCACAAGACATTTTTCTTTGAAAATCGTCCACTGACGATGTTGTGTTCTCCTATGGAAGTCTCCGCAGATGAAGCCCTACACATGTGCATGCATAGTTAATGTCTTGAGACTGACCCCAGTCTGAACCCTGCATGTCTTTGACAGACGCACTTTACACACATGACCATTGAGGATTTCTCCAATGACACTGAATGTTGAAGTGTTTGGAGGTAGCCGTTTAAAAAATCTACTGGCATTTCAGTGGCTGCCGTGATAATCTGGGGCATAATTGAAAATATAAGATAATCTTACAACGGACTAACAACTATTAGCTTTAACCTTAACTTTGGTATTTCATGTTTGTATTTGAGACAATAGATTTGTTTTAGGAAACAACAGATTGACTCTAGATTTCCAAGTTATTCTCAGCACAGGACTTTAGTATTGCAGTATTGCAGAAATACATCTGTGCTGTTAAATTTTACTTTTAAATTATAGTTAGTAGAGTATTTCGAGGGGTGTGGGCTGTTAATCCTGATACCCCCTCTTCTCCTTTGTCCGCTCAGTCAACAGTAACCTGATCCGAGGCACAGTGGGAGCAGTAGCATTGGGTTATTTTTACTTTTCTCTCTATCCTTGTTGACACTGCGCTTGGCCCTGGGCAGCATCCTTGTCTGCACCACAGCCATTACAAAATTAAGAAATATAAATATAAAGTACTCTTAGAGTAGAATTCAAACTGCATAGTTCGAGTAAGTGTCGGCCAGAGATAATGATTTTATTGTAGACGTTTACTTGTGAGACGAGGTTCAGTGTACTTTCTATTTTTTCCAAAACTTCTAACATACATACAACCGAAGTCACGTCGAGTGTTATAGATAATAAAAACGATCACATCCTGTCCCTGACTTACAAATGTCGTCCCTTCACAATAAAAGGACATTTTGTGTAATCGATTCCTGGCCCTAAAATGACATCATGATGAAATTATTACATTGTGTTCCCACTGAATATTTTATTAATGGGAAGAAGACTTGTATGAAGACATCTCACACTACTTTACATTTGGCCTGAGCATGAAAGACTTCATTCGAGCATCTTTGTAGGCTGTAGTTTAAAGTGCTCCCCGTCATTCAGAGAAGACAGACCTTAAACTGTCCTTTAATGTAAGGAACAAGGAGAGGATAGATGTGCTCTTCCTCTGATGGTCTCCCAGACAGACGTCGCTCCAGAGGATGGGTGGGGCGATTTAAATCATCTATGATGACAAATAATAATTCCTACATCCCATCCTCACCAAATTTCATCTCAATCAAAGAAGTACTTTTTGCTCATTCTTGCCTACAGATGAACACTGACACACAAACACACCTATACACACACACACACACAACGCAGATTAGCTCGTAACCCCTTAACAGGGTAACAATGTTCACATATTGATATCATAATTAAAACTTAATACATTATGATGCATTAACTGTTCAAAATCATCAGCCCAATCTTGCGTCCTGATGTCTTGTCTCTCCCCTTCCATCGTTTATTGGTCAGTAACATCTGACCAGCCCTACTTGACTTAAGTGATATTATGTGGAAGGTCACCCAGATCTTTTCTGCCCACTTCCCTCTGTAATCCAAGCAGATGCAGGCTTTCTATCTGACTGCTCATCTGGGTTTGTGTGTAACTTGTGCATTTGCCCAAACTTTGCTGAGCGTTTAGTCACAGCAGGGGTGCCGTCTTCGCAACTGAAAAGAAGAAAAACAGACATCATTTACGCAGCGGAGGCCGTTCTCAGAGGCTCAGGCCATCCACTATCCTCGCAATTTATTCCTCCGCCTGCGTTGGTCATTAAGGGATTGCGCGTGTTGCCAAAACGAAGCGGAAAAGAAAAGAGGATGTGAGGAAGTGACGGTGGAGACACAAAGGTGCAGTTTCACAGGAGCCGAGGCGCATCAGGGTTAAAGACACAAGTTTGTGGTTTTCTCTGAGCTTAAAGGCACTTCTCTGAATAATTACATGCCAAATAGGAGGTCCTTTAGAAAATATGATAACGTTGTCCTTTTGTGGATCTGGAAGTCCCAAGTCGGTGTTAATGCCGGCCCCATCCAGAAGTCATTTTCCAAGCATGTTGGAAAGCATTCAGACCCCACTGACGGTGCAGATGTATACTTTTGGAACTTGTTCTGCGATACATCACAATCGATTACACCGGTTTGTCTACATTCATACACAACAAATAATGGCTGATTCAAAGCCCTTACTCTGCATATTTCAAAATATATTTGTAGACAGGTTCATATAGCTCCTTTCTTCGAAAATAGCACTCGAAAACTTCAAACCAGACAAACACTTATAGTAGTGGTGGTGTGGTATGGTAGTAATACCCATGCACTTTGAAAGGAGGCCACTACTCTAGCTTTGTAACATGGACATACATCTTTAAGGAGATGGTCTGGTCTTGAATTGAGTAAAAACACTATGAGTGAGTGCTTCTTTAGACACACATACACACAGCCCCAGGCAGGGCCACTAAAGGCCAAGGGGCATGTAAACAGATCGCCTTCAATCTATTCTTCTATTCTCTATACGAGCACGGCAAAATCTTTGGTGTAAAATCAATAGAGTTGCCCAGCGCAATGACAACACAGGATCTCACAGAAAAAGTCATAATTCCATTAACTTTCTCCCTAAAACTAAAGCCATGAAATAAAACATGTCTGTAGAATGTACTTTAAAGGGGGAGTATGCAACATTTTTTTTGCCTTTACTTTCCATCTCTAGGTCTCTAGGATGCTTTAGGATCAAATGTTTGGATTCTCTGCTCAGAAAACCTACAAAGCAATTGATCCTGAAGACACAACCGTGATCAATAGTTAAGGCACCTTGCTTCCCACTCTTACAGCCACTGGGTCACTACAAGGTCAAATACACAAACATATCAGCTTTCAATTCAGTTTACATACACGAGCAGATAAACTTTTACATTCACAGAAAACAAAATCCAACAACATTCACATCAATGGCCTGAACCAGGACTGTACCAGGACTGAACCAGGACTGAACCAGGACTGAACCAGGACTGTGCCAGGACTGAACCAGGACTGAACCAGGACTGAACCAGGACTGAACCAGGACTGAACCAGGACTGAACCAGGACTGTACCAGGACTGTACCAGGACTGAACCAGGACTGTACCAGGACTGAACCAGGACTGAACCAGGACTGAACCAGGACTGTACCAGGACTGTACCAGGACTGTACCAGGACTGAACCAGGACTGAACCAGGACTGTACCAGGACTGTACCAGGACTGTACCAGGACTGTACCAGGACTGAACCAGGACTGTACCAGGACTGTACCAGGACTGAACCAGGACTGTACCAGGACTGAACCAGGACTGAACCAGGACTGTACCAGGACTGAACCAGGACTGAACCAGGACTGTACCAGGACTGTACCAGGACTGAACCAGGACTGAACCAGGACTGAACTAAGACAAAATCTCACATGAAGTTTCAGATAGAGTTCAAGTCTGTAGCGAAGACCCCACTCAAAAGAGATAGGCAGTTAATCCAAGATAAATGTTCACGTTTGTCTTTTGAGATGTTTTATTATCATTATGTATTGGTTTCAAGTTACCACATACATGATCACTTCGTCTGCGGTCGATTCAAGAGAAATTACATGCAAATACTATTATTTTGGATAGCCTTAAGCATGCTTACACACTAATATATATAATTTCAATGTAATGTTTGTGTTTCTTTCCAATTGTCAGTCAAAACATATATAATGCCAAATACATATATAATACCACCTTCTGTGTCAATACTGTGTATGACTAAAGCAACATTGTCTATTTTTACCTCCGCCTGTATGCACCAGCGACCTATATCTATATAATTGTTTTTTCGTTGTAGTGACACCACAAACCCACTGTCTTACCTTTTGGGGAAACGCTACGAGACTTCTTGCTTTCCGAGGGACAGTCGCTGCTGCTGTTGGGGGAGCAGCTTCTTCTCTTTCCCAGAAGATCGTCTGAGAAACCAAAACGTTGTAGTGGGTAAGGACATTGTCATCACAAGTTGTCATGAAATTATAATGTTATATATGTTAATATTCAGAAATATGATGGTTTTAGTTGTGGCATAACTGTATGAAAATTATCCAACAATGCGCTACATTTATATTAAATGTATATTTATATTATATAAAATTGTATGGTCAAAATTGTGTTTGACAATAGTTATATGTTTTGAAATCCTCTTGAATCCTTTCTAATGGTCAATGAAGGGTTGATAGGTAATTTGAAATGAGAGGCAGTAAATGGAGAGTGTAGACTTTGGAGGAATAATTGGACTATTTTTCTGTTGAATAGCAAAAGTCTGATTTACGATAACAAAATCTATAATGAGAGCCACAGTATGATAATAGACTAAAAGAGGAGATTAATCCGCGAAGAGAATTAACTGCTGCACTGTTTTTGTTCCCATAGGGCAATCCTCTGGATTTGACCCATCCTGATGCCGCTAAGGCTTCCGTCAAGAGCAGTGGTCACCCATCTCTAATTGTCCAGGTATCAATCAACAACTTCATCAACCTGATCAGAAACTCCCATCTCCCTCCTTCACAATATGAACAACCGTCTCTGGCTGTTCCAACGAAACGTATCTACAATCAAAGAGCGAGCCTTAATAAGTGAAGAGAGGCGCTGCAGAGCTCACAGGAAGGAAGAGACTGTTTCTCTTTTAATAGTATCTAATGCACACATGTTTTAAACAAGAAATTCACATTATAACTCGACTAAATGTGGACTGGAGTGGACTGAGACTGAGGACTGTTACTTAAAAACTACCAGTAACAAATAATGGAATAAAAGTTGGATTTTGATTTTCAGTTTTCATTTCCAAACCATTTTATACAACAACATGCTGGACTGTTTGAGTGAATATTTCAGAGTTGTTCAGCTTGTTTCTTGCCACACAATCATCAATGGAGCACCTGCCATCTCAATGATCAGACTAACTGCACACTTTGTATATGAAGGACTACCTGCTTTTGATCATATACTCTTTACAAGGGTCTGTTTAAATGTATAGCTGCCTTGACCCTTAACCTTCCCAATATCATTCCCAACCACACTGTGTCCTTTCTTTTCCATAACAAGACAGTTGGAGTGAGGGGGAACACTTAAAGGGGACTCGGAGGACTTTGTTGGAGCCACTGTAGAAGCTGTGGTGTTGATGAAAGACAAGATGGAGGAATAGAGTACCAAGAGAGGGGAGGTTCACTAATGATCCATCGTTTGAAGTATGGGCTGTTCCCGAGGAGATCCACCGGCCCAAAGCCGTGTGTATGTGTGTGTGTGTGTGCATGTGTGTGTGTGTGTGTGTGTGTGTGCATGTGTGTGTGTGTGTGCATGTGTGATTAAGAGGGAAAGAGTGAGGACAATGTTAATGGAACACATCTTTTTAACCTCCTTTACAATCTTGCGTCCAAATGTTCATTTCTTTACCTGATTATTTCAAAAAACACTTCAAGTCTCAACAACAAAGACACCCCGTTAGTAAACCCCATCTGCACACACCCACAGCCCTCTGATGATCAAACACACACATTTGAGTCATCTCTCAGGCCAACCTCACTCAAGACGCTGAGTCTCCTGCTCCGGGGCCCCGGGGCCAGAGATTTGAGGGCGGAAAGCTTTTAAAGCCAATTAAATGGGGCTTCTTAGAGCACCAGCGCTCCTTTTAATGCCCGGCTCTGAGTTCAATCCACTAACTCCTTTACTCCTACCAGCAGCGCTAACAGTCAGGTTGGCTACCTCAGGCTCTCCCCGGTGGCTATTAGGGCTCCGCTGTTGGAGCAGCAGAAAGAGGCTGGACTTTGAATAGCCGAGTTTGGAGGCGAGTTACAACAACATAATCAATAATTTGTTCCAGGAACATGATGCTTCCAAATGTTCGTCACGCTACAACCTAAATCTAAAATATAATAAAAACTGTTTAATGAGTTGCTTTGTCTCTTCATTAAAAAAATTGGCTCTAGATCAGCTTATGTGCTCGGAGGGTAAATGCACATCATTGGATCCTAACCTGTTACATGTTGTTCTTTCCTCAGGGATCAGGCCAGTGCTCAGAAAAAAACAGAGCGACTTAAACCACTTTGCCTGATCTGACAGAGAGGAGCCGACCATCATTTTTCTTTTCAGTCTTTGATTCCTGCTCCTCCCTCAAACTTTAGCTGTCGTCCTGTCGACGCTCCGTCCTGTGGAGCGTGGTGACAGCTCAGACAGCCAGACTCCTTAATTCCTCTCTTACTCCGTTAATCTGTCATCTTTATCAGGCTGGTCGTGGGGCGGATGGGGGAGGAGGGGTGGGCCTCTAGCCGCAGACCCCCGATCAATCTCCACATTACAGCTGACAGAATGGTGCTAATAACTTATTGATCTCTCTGCGTGCGACGGGGCCTCCGCCGGCACAGAAAGCCCTGTCATTGATTGCCTTACGGCCGACGGCAGGACAGCGAGGGGCCGGAGGCGTGTGCTGAGGGGACGTTGCTGTCAACATATGCAAATCTGCAAACAATGTGCTCCTTGACTTGTTTGAGCAGAAAAGGTTAAAATACAAACACAATTTAGAGTTGCTGCGTGACCCGTGTCACACATGGAGCAATCAGGAGACCTTTGATCATTAGCAGAGGAAGATACTTTGTCTGTGACTTGAAAACTATATGAACATAAGCAACAATTAGGTTATCAACAACAGGCCCTACCATTTCATTATTTTGTTTGGTATAATTGAACAAAAATAAAATGCTCAAAGTAAAGCAGATGTTGTGTGATTACATTTGCCAAAAGTGTGCTAATACAAAGTTACGAGACACCTTTGAAAGCATCACAAGGCCCCAGCCACTCCGCAAGGCGAATAGAGACAGGATGAGAACTGCACATCAAGCTCATTAGGGATCAACTGTGACCTGTGGAATGTCATGGTGTTGCTTAACTTATGTTAAAAATCTCAGAATAAATACTAGAGGCAATTATGATGATGAGCAGAAGGGATCAAAATAAACTAGATATTATTATTTGTATCAGGTATTCACAGTAAACTCTTCTGAGCAAATGCATTCTATAGCAGCTTTCAAATGTTTCTTTTTTATGTCTAGCAGAACTAGTATAAAGCCTTGTATTACTATAACAAGTATTAATTTTGTTTCTCCTCCAGGGGATGACGCAATCACCAGGGTTTGTTTGTCTGTTTATTGTATTTTTACAAGATTTTCAGAAATGGGAAGGTTTCAAGATGGCGCCTCGTACGGTCGACATGGCTCTTTGCTGCTCTCTTTTTCTTTTGTTTTTACTTTTTAACTGTGCATCTGGCTGTTCCTACACCCGTGAGGAACTTATGAACATCCGACCCACCGTTCCCATGGACCTATTGCCTGTTTTCTTGGCATCTGCGGCTGATTTAGTTCATGTTCTAGCCAAAAAAGTGTGGGCCCGTAAAAGGGGAAAGCGCGGAGGCCTGCTGGTGCGTCTTAGGAGGAGAGGAGCGCGCACGGCTCTCCCCGGCATTTTTCTCTCCAACGTACGCTCACTGGGCAATAAGATGGACGAACTCAGCCTGCTCATGAGAAGAAACAAGGACTTCGCCACATCCTGTGTCCTCTGCTTCACTGAGACCTGGCTAAATGAGCGGATCCCGGACTGTGCTCTGGAGCTGCAGGGCTTTGGGCTGTTCCGCGCGGATCGCCATTGTGCGCTCTCAGGGAAGAGCAGAGGCGGTGGGCTGTGTTTCTACGTCAATACAAACTGGTGTAACGATGTGACAGTGATCTCCAAGCACTGCTCTCCTGCTCTGGAATATCTTTTCATTCATTGTAAACCATATTACTCCCCGCGGGAAATTGTTTCATTCATTCTTGCCTCTGTTTACATACCGCCATGCGCGGACGCGCGCGAGGCTCAGCGCGCACTCGCAGAGCAAGTACTGTGTATGGAACGTTTATACCCGGACTCTCTGATTATTATCCTGGGGGATTTTAATAAGGGAAACTTGAGCCAGGAATTACCCAAATACAGACAGTTTATCAAATGCCCGACCAGAGAGGAGAACACGCTGGATCACTGTTACACCACCGTGCGCGGAGCTTTTCGCGCTGTTCCCAAGCCAGCCCTCGGCTTCTCAGATCACTCCATGATACATCTGGTTCCTGCTTACAGACAGAGACTAAAGCTCTCGAAACCTGCAGTGAGGAGCTCCAAAGTGTGGTCTGATGAAGCTGTGGAAGAGCTGCGCGCATGCATGGAAACTACAGACTGGGACCTTTTCAGAGCTGCCACAGACAGTTTGGATGAATACACGGACACTGTGACGTCATACATTCACTTCTGTGAGGATAGCATCATTCCAACAAGGACCAGGGTCATCTATAACAACGACAAACCCTGGTTCACTGCTAAACTCCGGCAGCTCAGGAAAGCAAAGGAGTCTGCTTTCAGGGAGGGGGACCGCAGCGGCTACAAAGCAGCTAAATATCAGTTCAGGAGAGAACTGAAAGCAGCCAAGTCCCGGCACAGAGAACGACTACAGGAGCAGTTTGGTAACAACGATACTGCTTCTGTCTGGAGGGGCCTACGGGAGATCACCAACTACAAACCCAAAGCCCCCCCCTGTGCTGATGACCACAAGCTAGCTGACGATCTGAACTTATTTTTCAGTCGCTTTGATGCTGCCCCTGACACCTCTCCCTCCCCCACCCCCCACTACTCTAACGACCCACCCATCAGCCCTGCCCCCAGCCTAACAATAGCCGCTAAAGAGATTAAACAACTCTTCCTGAGGCTGCACCCCCGCAAAGCTCCTGGCCCGGACCACGTGTCTCCGGCCACTCTGAGACACTGCGCCAGTGAGCTTACTCCTGTGTTCACGGACATTTTCAACACCTCTCTGCAGTCCTGCCATGTCCCGGCCTGCTTCAAATCCTCCATCATTGTCCCCGTCCCGAAGAAGCCCAGGATCACAGGACTCAATGAC